AAAGGCATAACTGGATTTTGGATTTGCTTAACTCAAACACGTTAATATGGCAAGCTTGGGATATATTGTAAAAAAAATTGTGTTATATTGTGTGTATATATTTATAAGATAACGGACCTTTTTTAAAAAAAATTTTTTTAAGTTAATACATTATACACCATATATATATATATATATACACACACACACACATACATACATACATACACACACATCAAATCTAGAACAAAGCCCTCATGTATATAACATCATAAATATATTAAAATAACATTCAAATTAATTGTGTTTTTGGCATCTTAGTTTTTTTTTTTGTTACTCATTTTAATGCATCAAGTTAAACCTAAATGAAAGCTATTTCTGGTGGACAATTTGTCATGGAGAAATTTCATAAAATTATAGGTTTTTGTACATTTTATTTTCAGTTAATATTTAAAGTACAAAAATGTCTTTATGGTTTTAGTTTACTATAATAAACCTTTATATCTCCAGCAAATGTAAAAAAAACACTGAAAGCACTTCAATGACAACAGTGCCATTACACGATTGAGCTTACAAGCCTCATGCGAGCCAAGAAATGGCTTAACAATAGACAAGGACGTTGCTAGTGCCTCAGTTGCCGCCATAAAATATTTCCCATACAACAGGTGAAGTACATTAGCTCACTGCAGTACGGCCTCTCTAATGCCCAAACTGCCACTCCACTGCAGTCCCTGGAGTAACCATCTATATTTAGGGCAGAGGTAAGCCAAGCTAATCAGCTGCAGTGGGGCTGCTAACCCTCCCCCACACCATCAGCGCTGAACTTGGACCTGCGCTGAGCTCATTAGAAAGTGCACTGATGCAGTCGTGAGGGCAGTGGAGCGAGAGGGGAAAGGTCACCATGTGTACAGGTGTCAGTCCACGGATGACAAAAACACATACGGCAGATCCGTCCACAAACAAACTTTACGATTGCACACAAATGCTTGGCAAACTCCCTGCAAACATGTGATCTCGTGGAACAAAGTGCACCCTTGCGATGTTGTGACTGTAACATCCCTCAGTTTCCCAAACATTTGATGTCACTGAACTTGCTTTACAAGATTCTTTGACTGTCACCCCATGATAGTGGTTGATCTGATAGAGAAACTGTTTTAAAACACTGATGCTTTTAGTACACACACTAGATTTGATGCCATCTTTATGTTGTTTACTGCTAAATGTAAATATTGATGGCTCGTCCTGTACTAGATAACAGATTTGTCCAATCAAATGTTCGAGAACTAGAATGCCCCTCCCCTGTAAACACCTAAGGCCCAATCAAAAGTTATTTTCAATAATGTTGCTTTCACACCATGTCAGAAGCACAATTACAAGCGTCAGACTTGTAACCAAGATTTCTAAAAGGATGCGAGTGCTTTTTACAACCTCGAAAAATTGAGCCCTGACTTGTCATCTCGTAATAGTGAAACAGTTGTTCTGCAAGAAAGCTAAAAGTCATGTTTATTTTCTCCATATGAAAATTTAGTTTAACAGCAATTCATAGACCTATTGTAAGCTACAAGGTAGTTAATCTATGGCATGTTTTTTTTTTAATCCATCAGCCCATGTTATCTCGGCTTTCTTTTTTTTTTAAAGTTTATTAGCGGAATTTCTTGTGGAAAAACTACATTACCCTTGATTCCGCAAAGAAACTTCCACTAATCAAGAGAATCATAACCAGCTCCAAAAAAGCACTTCAGTACCCACCCACTCAAATTACTTAAATATTTAGGTGTGAGTGGTAGGGCTGTCGCGATAACCGCAATACCGTGCTATTGACGAGCAAACTGCAGAGGAATGCAAAAACCGCAGCAACCGAGATTTTTGCGTGTTTTCTTTTTTTGTAAGGTTATGACCTTCTCGTTTTACACTTCATGCATGTGGACTGAATATTAAACAAAGTTAGTAATGATAATGTGTACCATGCTGATTTTTACAGAGGCTCCGTAGATTTGCACTTAAGCCTAAACAGACAGTGAATGAGAGAGAGATCAACTGAACGCGTGCGATTACTTGAATCTGTCCTCCAGGCCGAGTCAGTCATTCATTCATTCACATATATACATATACATATATATGAGAAAATAGGTTGTCATGTCCAAGGAAAGCGAAATCTCTGTCTTAGCATTGACGCACAACTGGTCAGCTGAGCCTTCTAAAGTGACGCTCAAAGTTAAAATGATTTCAACAGCGTGTTTCATTACATCTCTTTGAATGAATTGTGTGTTGAGTGTTTCTGAACGTGTAGTTGAATGACAGTCCCTTTCCACCACCTTGTGGCGCAACACTGTAACTGCACTGACTGACAGCCCATCTAGAAAAAAAGTGAAAAGTGACCTGACATGTGGCCAAGTATGGTGACCCATACTCGGAATTAGTGCTCTGCATTTAACCCATCCAAAGTGCACACACACAGCAGTGAACACACACGTAACACATACATACACACACATATATACATATGGCGATAATACCACGCTATTGAGCCACTCAATTACCGCAAGGGAAATTCCCTCACCGCGACAGCCCTAGTGGGTGGCAATAAACAATATACTGTAATACACATTTAGACTAAATCAGAAGTCTTTCATTTTCCCATCATTTGTTTCAATTATGTCTCTTGAAATACTTCATGGGACTGTAGTTAATCTTGCACCTTTGTCTTTTTGTCCAACTTCCACATACTTTGCTTTAAATCAAAGATTGTCATATTGTCATTCAGCTAGTATCTATTTGGTTTTATGGCTTATAACTCCTAAATAGGGATGCACCGATATGAAAATTTTGGCCGATACCGATAACCGATTATTCTTTATTTTTGAAAGCCGATAACCGATATGTTGGCCGATAAATCTATATCCAAATTGTTATATACTTTTTGAGAGCCTGATTACAAAAAAGGTCTCATCATTAAAAGCCACATCCCAAACACTTCAACATAAGCAGCCTAGTTTGAACGGTGTACGTTTTAAAAATATTTTTACTCTCCCATTACCAAATTTAGTCATAAAAAAGTCTTACAAATAAATAAAATAATGCAGGCGTGCCGCGATGGTCACAGACGTAACGTTACGCCAGGCGCATTTCTATATACACAAGCACCACAAACGATTAATAAATATGCAAACTGCACTAAATCCCGCGTGCGGTATGCACGCCCCTAAAATGCATGAACGCGGGGACGCTTAAAATCGCTAGCTAGAGGCGTTTGCGTGTGTGTGTGTGTGTGCGTGTGTGTGTGTGTCAGGCCTAAGAGCTGCGCTGACGCAATAGTCGCGGCCAGTTGAAGAAGTAAAGTTTACACCGCGTGTAGGGGTGTCACAGCCCAGGGACGACCTAAAAATGTCAAACAAACAGCGGCTTAAAGAGAGAACAAAATACATGCATGTAGCGACGCTTGCACACGCACGCGGTGATGCCACGCGCAGGCATTAATATTCGCTGATCTCACAGGCCAGGGAATAAAGACGACCACGAGTAATGAGGGAATGATGATTATTAATCATATAAAGTTAGAGGCTCGTCTTGACGTGTAAAACACGCAACCGGACAAACCGGCAGAACAACAACACGCGCGAGGTATCCGCGTTACACACGAACACATGTCCCGCGAGCCCGCCGCCTTCAAACAGAAATAAGCGGAATTATTACGAGCCAATATGTTGTGACTCTTAGTTCCATTTATATATATATTTTATATAGTTCTAAAAACGAAAATAAAACTCTGAATAAGCCCTTAAAGCGTTCATGGCCTACATTCGTGAGATTAGCTTTGGGCCTCAAATCCGGCGACTCCGCCGCGCGAGGCCAGAGACAAATAACGTTACCTCCCACTTTACCCAAGTCCGCGAACGGTAAAGAAGAACGCATTTTCCCTGCACTTGACATGATTACAGTATAATAAACTGTTATAATGTTTTCATGTATAGAAATGTAAAATAGTTATCAGCAGCTATTAGCACGCGCTAGCTGAGGGATCTCGTGCCCGACTGTGTTTGCCTTCCGCGCGACATTGTGACACGAGAATCTTATTTATAACGTAACGTTAATCGTGTTATGACACATACCAGGGTGTCCTTCACCGACAGACTCCGACGTGAACAAAAAGCAGTCTTCATCAATCAGGGAGTTGTGGAAACCGTTCATCTGCCCGTTCATGTTGGAGTTACTGGTGCGTTTCTCTCTCTCGCTGGCTATAGCGTGTTATTTTCAGATGCCGTCTGCTTTTGAAACGTCGGTCTTCGAGATGTTTCTGGCGATGCTGTGCAGACTTGAGCTCAGATGATCATCACGCGAGCCGGTCTTCAGGTTTATATCCCTCCCTCTTCACTCCAAACGCGAACGTCACTCCGTACGCCACGCCCCCTTCGCGGCAGCCAATCAGAAACGGCGTTACGACGTGACGCGCTGAGGAGACGAAGAAGGCCCTGCTTTGTATACAATATCTGACATTCACACGTTTAGAAATAAAACAAAGACAAATTGACAAATAAAAACCCAATTTAAAACCATAAATAGAGGGAAGAGGGGACTAGTTTCCACACTTTCCCCTCTCTATAGGTTTGTGTTTTAAATCCAAATTTCTATAGAAATACTCCATAGTTTCATTGTTTTCTCCCTAGCTTAATTTTTTAAAGCTTAATGTTCACTGCAGAGCAATATGAATGTGCATCATATGTCAGTGTGTTTCCAAATGTAAAAAGTTGTGATGTAAGATGATTATGTAATGCAGTTTTGCAGGGGAGACTTTATGTAAAATGCACTTTGTCCTTAGACAATGTGTAACCTACATCAGGAATGGCTGTCAGTCTAGGAGGTGCACTTTGGACTCGGTTGAGCAAAGCATTACTTGTTGTATTGCAGCGTATTAAATGTTAGTAAATTAAAGCTTGTGGGCAGAGCTGCTAAGCCTGTCTCGCCACTTTGCTAATTACTGTATGTGTGTGTGTGTGGGGGGGGTATCTGATTGTCTTTCAGGAGATTACTAAATTTGTAGGTAGCATGCGAAATGTATGTAGGCCTATGTGTGTGTGTGTGTGTGTGTGTTTGTCTATACATTTTGTTCATAACCAGTCAGCATGACTATAATCTATTACATTCACTCAGTGCTTCTATTGCACTATCACTCACTTTCAGTCAGCATGGGGCCTCTTTTATCCCATCTAATCTGTAGGTATAAGCTTAATGTTCACTGCAGAGCAATATGAATGTGCATCATATGTCAGTGTGTTTCCAAATGTAAAAAGTTGTGATGTAAGATGATTATGTAATGCAGTTTTGCAGGGGAGACTTTATGTAAAATGCACTTTGTCCTTAGACAATGTGTAACCTACATCAGAAATGGCTGTCAGTCTAGGAGGTGCACTTTGGACTCGGTTGAGCAAAGCATTACTTGTTGTATTGCAGCGTATTAAATGTTAGTAAATTAAAGCTTGTGGGCAGAGCTGCTAAGCCTGTCTCGCCACTTTGCTAATTACTGTATGTGTGTGTGTGTGGGGGGGGTATCTGATTGTCTTTCAGGAGATTACTAAATTTGTAGGTAGCATGCGAAATGTATGTAGGCCTACGTGTGTGTGTGTGTGTGTGTGTTTGTCTATACATTTTGTTCATAACCAGTCAGCATGACTATAATCTATTACATTCACTCAGTGCTTCTATTGCACTATCACTCACTTTCAGTCAGCATGGGGCCTCTTTTATCCCATCTAATCTGTAGGTAGTGCCAGGAGGTGCAGGGGCCTGGTGCTTTACAGGGAAACTCAGACATCATTGAGTTTGTCAACTCATATCTAACCTCAGGGTCCAAAAGTTGGAGACCACTTGCGAAAATGCTGTTCTTTGCATTTTTCTCATTTAGGAGTTTTGTCATTTTGAGCGCTTGAGCGAAAGGTTGAATTGAAAAATTATGAATTTTGGAACGTCTTTTTGTTTTAATGACAGCAGCACTTGAGCTCGGTGAATACAATTTTAAGATCAACATTTTCTAGCAAGATTTGTTATTAAATGTAAGCAAGAACATCTGACTTTCTGCAAAAAGAGTTCACATTTTCAGTGTCACTAAATGATTTATGAACATTACTGGCTTAAATATTTTTATATATTAATTATATTATATATTTTTTATTTGTAACTATTTTAATTATTTCTTAAATCACTTTTTAAGAGTACATATTCTACCTCAGTTTTAAATGAAATAAAAAAAATCCCATATTTTCAGTGTGGTCTCAAATTTTTTTTTTTTTGGTCTCCCCTGCAATTAATTATCATTCTAATTAATTTGTAACAATTAAAAACTGTGATGTAGAAGAATTAGATGCAAGGCCATTTGTCTATGGCATTTGATATCAGGAAGTAGTGCTTACAACACTGTGTTGTTATTGCCTTTTGTGTTGTAAATTGGCACGTTATGATGCAAAGAGTGAAAATGTTCCTTGATAGTGAACATTCATTTGCAAGTGTTTGTGAACAGAACAAGCTCTGGCATTTAAATCAACCGTGGAGACTATCTAAACATTGGCCTCTCTTATAAGCAGCTGGTAGGCTATATTATCAAGCCCTATAAGAACAGTTTTATGTGATTGGTTTGTAAATGCTGTCTTTTATTAGCATTTCACAGTTAAGTTTTTTTTTTATTATTTAAATTAGCATTATATATAAGTAATATATTTATATATGTAACAGGTAACCACAAAAAAACGTATTTAAATGCAGATGAGGCAGTTTTGTGCAGGCCTGGCTCTAAGGTCTAAAAAATATTTTTCTTCTAAGCATAAAGTTTTGCATTAAAGGAATATCAGACATTCTGCCAGACAAAACATTGATTGTTTTAGTCCCTAAATGGAAGTGAATGCAGTATGTTTAAGTTTGGTGTATTTATTTACAGGAATGACATGAACTTGCACCTGGCAAGGTTTTGGATACATAACACTTATGTATGATCACGTTGCAGCCAGGTGATGGTTTTTGCTCGAGGGAGATGTTTTCAAAATTAACTTCAAATTGCGCAACGTTTGCTGTCAATCATCATGAATGAGTCAAACACCTCACAATACATAACCAAACTCTTTTGCTCTCTGGTTCTGGCTTTTGAACTTCCGAAAAGATCACACTGCTTTCACAATGTGTCTATTCGCCTCCAGGGCTGGGAGAGTTTCCAAAGTCTCATTCCAATCTCTGACTAAGAGCTTAGATCTCATAACAGACTAATGGATTCTTAAAGGAGTGTTCAGAGAAAAATTCAACTGAAAAGTCAGTAACATCATTTTTGTTAAAACTCTCTCCCTCGTCTAAACCTACAAGCATGATAATGATCCTGATTAGCAACCTTTTCAAAGTTTCCTGAGAGACTAACCATTATTTAAAAAACAGACTTCACAGGACTCAAAAATGGGTGAAAATTGGATTTCTTTTTTTATTTTAAGGGTATAGCATTGTGTCCTCATTATTCATTTTGACACATTTCTGTACTTCACAGTTCAAGATGAGGACAATTACGCCACAGGAAAACATTTGACTTTGATTTAAAAAATACAATAAGTCAGTAAATCAATGCTTATAGACAAACTCAGTGTTCTTTGCTCTCCGGCCAAATGATTTGACAAAAATATAAGAGAAAAGGAGGACAGTAAAATTACAGTTCTTCACCTTTACAGAATATCTGTTGAAAACATGAACAGAGAATACAGAAAGGGAAGATATGCAAAAGTTAAAAAAAAATTTGCGATGATATGCTGATGATATGACGTCTATATACCATCAGGCTTGGTTACATTTTATTGTCTTTTGTTATTTAAAGGGAAATCAATCCTGACATGTATTTGTTCAACTTTTGCTAAACTCATCCTACATGTCTTTTAGGTGTTTATTTTTGCGCGTGTTTGCCCACACACACCTCACACTAGCTTCACTCAGCTCTAATAGATCAAATAATGACACAAAATGCTATGAGCAGAGCTGATGTGATTGGTTGTCTTCAGTCAGCCGCTCCTGTCAAAGGTTCGCTCTGTTTCAGGAGAGGCAGTTGGCTTGACAAAACTTCAGCAAAGCATGATGGCTGTTAATGTGTAACTTCTAAAATCTGGGATGGTGGTCTTATAGTATGTGCCAAACCTGGCATACGTGTACTCGTATACTACTAGACCCATTTATTATGACATCAGCTGTTAACAGCAGTGATAGACCCATGTATCAACAATCAATAGGATGACATTTGACCTTCTTGAGCTCAATGAATTCTGAAATATTTTATCTTGTCAATCTGTTCAGAATTTTGAATAAATACATTTTCCTATAAAATCATGTACATCTTTTATTTGCTGTCAGTAAACAGGCTATGGTTTGACTAGCAAACTATATTTATTAAACAACGGTGTCTTTTGTCTCATACACTGACCATTCCAAGGTTTGTGGTCAGTTTTCAGTGTCACATGATCCTTCAGAAATCCATGCTGATTTGCTTCTCAAGAAACATTTCTGATTATTAACAGTGTTAAAGATGTGGAAACTGTGATACATTTTCTCAGGATTCTTTGATGAATAGTTCAAAAGAGCAGCATTTTTTAAACAGAAATCTTTTGTAACATTATAATTGTCTTTAGTATCGCTTTCATTAATTTTATGCATCCTTGCTAAATAAAAGTTTTAATTTCTTTCAAAAACAACAACAAAAAAATCTTACTACCCCCAAATGTTCTGAATGGTAGTGTAGCCTATATCTACACACATACAAATACAGAGTCCACCAGCAAAAGTGCTTCTATTTTCTTATATATATATATATATATATATATATATATATATATATATATATATATATATATATACACACTTATTTATTTATTTATTATATACTTCAAGTTTTAAGTTAGATTTTGAATCCAGATTTTAAATGTGGTCTCAGACTTTTGGACCCCACTGTATATTTACAGTTTATCAACAGCGGTTCTCAACTGGTAGTTTTCTAAATTCAGATAATTAAATACACCATAGTTAAATCAATAAATAGGATTATCAACTTGAAAATGGAAAGGAGAAAACTTCCTATAATTTTCTTTTAGATAACAAAGTACAGTACTTTAAGTATAATGTTGTTTAATTTTCCACAATAAACCTCTTGACATCGGCCATTAAAGCCTGGTCAATGACTAGTTAAGAGTGAAGGCTGAGATGAATGCTGACATCACTGTTTGCTTTGATTCTACGGTAAAAGGACAGTTTTACCTTGGGTCAGGTTGTCCTGCACTATAAGGCTGATGTGCACTGTTGTACTGTCACCATTTACAATCTATCACTGAGAACTGAGAATAAGTTTGTGAAGCGATTAAGCACAACAAGGCATGAGAGCACAAACAGCTGTAGGTCTGAAAGGCGCCACAGGCCGTTTCTCTCAAGTAGTTGCATTACGATATCTGCTAAAGTCTAGTAATGAAGCGACAGTGAAGGGGGGATTGGTCAGAGAATCACATCGCCTGCTTTTCCGATCTGAGGAGGCCTGGGCTCTCCTAAAATGGCTGCTATCAGAGCCTCTGGAGCACTGACGGGGGACACTGGGCTCCGTGGACTGAGAGGACTGAGGGAGGGCGAAGTTAATGTGTCTGGAGAAACCAGACGCTCTTTCTTGGCGTTGGCCGAAGGGCGCGGGGAGGAGCTCCGTGCTGGGCCGTCGCGGGGACGTGGGCACAGGCTGAGAGACTGCAGGGAGGGAAGAGGTGTCCCGGAGAGCGCCGGTACGGCGGGGCTGCGGCTGCGCTGTCGCTTCTGGTGATGGCGTTTGCTGCTGTGGTTTCCAGGGCTGGGGCTACGAGAGATGGGGGCCAACAGCACCAGCGTACTGTCATCTTCAGAGCTGACGTCAGAACTGTCAGAGCGCGAACGACATGCTGGTGCCGGCGGCGTGGACATGGGCAGCTGCACCTGTGAGGAAAAACAAAGAGAATGAAATTAAAAAGAATATATATATACAAATCATATACTGAAGATTTCAGTGTTATGTAGAAGTTAAAATCCCTTTTATGTTTCTAAATCCTCATGACGTTCTTACACAAAACACAAATGGAGACTTTTCAAAGCATGTTTCCATTCTCAATTAGAGAGATTTTAAGCTTCAAAAATGGCACAAAACCATAAAGAAATATAAAAGTGGTCCATATTGCTTGTGTGCTGTAAGTCTTTCAAAGAAATAATGGCTTTATGTTAGGAAAAGTCCTCAAACATTTGAGCATGGCACTAGCAACGACAAGGTCATGGGTTTGATTCCCAGGGAAAGCAAGAACTGATCAAAAAGTATGCTTTGAATGAAATGTACAGTATAAGTGAATAATTAGGTTATATATATATATATATATATATATATACACACTTATTTATACAGTATATATATACTTCAAGTTTTAAGTTAGATTTTGAATCCAGATTTTAAATGTGGTCTCAGACTTTTGGACCCCACTGTATATTTACAGTTTATCAACAGCGGTTCTCAACTGGTAGTTTTCTAAATTCAGATAATTAAATACACCATAGTTAAATCAATAAATAGGATTATCAACTTGAAAATGGAAAGGAGAAAACTTCCTATAATTTTCTTTTAGATAACAAAGTACAGTACTTTAAGTATAATGTTGTTTAATTTTCCACAATAAACCTCTTGACATCGGCCATTAAAGCCTGGTCAATGACTAGTTAAGAGTGAAGGCTGAGATGAATGCTGACATCACTGTTTGCTTTGATTCTACGGTAAAAGGACAGTTTTACCTTGGGTCAGGTTGTCCTGCACTATAAGGCTGATGTGCACTGTTGTACTGTCACCATTTACAATCTATCACTGAGAACTGAGAATAAGTTTGTGAAGCGATTAAGCACAACAAGGCATGAGAGCACAAACAGCTGTAGGTCTGAAAGGCGCCACAGGCCGTTTCTCTCAAGTAGTTGCATTACGATATCTGCTAAAGTCTAGTAATGAAGCGACAGTGAAGGGGGGATTGGTCAGAGAATCACATCGCCTGCTTTTCCGATCTGAGGAGGCCTGGGCTCTCCTAAAATGGCTGCTATCAGAGCCTCTGGAGCACTGACGGGGGACACTGGGCTCCGTGGACTGAGAGGACTGAGGGAGGGCGAAGTTAATGTGTCTGGAGAAACCAGACGCTCTTTCTTGGCGTTGGCCGAAGGGCGCGGGGAGGAGCTCCGTGCTGGGCCGTCGCGGGGACGTGGGCACAGGCTGAGAGACTGCAGGGAGGGAAGAGGTGTCCCGGAGAGCGCCGGTACGGCGGGGCTGCGGCTGCGCTGTCGCTTCTGGTGATGGCGTTTGCTGCTGTGGTTTCCAGGGCTGGGGCTACGAGAGATGGGGGCCAACAGCACCAGCGTACTGTCATCTTCAGAGCTGACGTCAGAACTGTCAGAGCGCGAACGACATGCTGGTGCCGGCGGCGTGGACATGGGCAGCTGCACCTGTGAGGAAAAACAAAGAGAATGAAATTAAAAAGAATATATATATACAAATCATATACTGAAGATTTCAGTGTTATGTAGAAGTTAAAATCCCTTTTATGTTTCTAAATCCTCATGACGTTCTTACACAAAACACAAATGGAGACTTTTCAAAGCATGTTTCCATTCTCAATTAGAGAGATTTTAAGCTTCAAAAATGGCACAAAACCATAAAGAAATATAAAAGTGGTCCATATTGCTTGTGTGCTGTAAGTCTTTCAAAGAAATAATGGCTTTATGTTAGGAAAAGTCCTCAAACATTTGAGCATGGCACTAGCAACGACAAGGTCATGGGTTTGATTCCCAGGGAAAGCAAGAACTGATCAAAAAGTATGCTTTGAATGAAATGTACAGTATAAGTGAATAATTAGGTAATCATGTAAATGAACAGATAGCAAAAAAATCTGAATTCACTAAAAATGGGTTGAGTCCTAGTCCAACCATATTTTAATGTTTTCATGTTTCATGATGGCCCTGTCATGGACCCGTAACCATGTGGATTCTGTCTTGATTTTAAGTCAAATTTCTTTTGGTCTCAGTCTTGACTCAGACTCATCTCTCTTCTGGTCTCAGTCATGACTCAGACTCAACACTCTTCCGGTCTCAGTCCAGACTCAGACCCATCTCTCTTTTGGTCTCAGTTTTGACTCAAGCTCGACCCTCTTCAGGTCTTAGTCTTGACTTAGACTCATCCCTCTTCTGGTCGCTGTCTTGAGACCAAACTTAACCAACATCTGGTCTTAGTCTAGACTCAGACTCATCTCTCTTTTGGTCTCAGTCATGACTCAGACTCAACACTCTTCCGGTCTCAATCCAGACTCAGACCAATCTATCTTTTGGTCTCAGTCTTGACTCAAGCTCGACCCCCTTCAGGTCTTAGTCTTGACTTAGACTCATCCCTCTTCTGATCGCTGTCTTGAGACCAAACTTACCCAACATCTGGTCTTAGTCTAGACTCAGACTCATCTCTCTTCTGGTCTCAGTCATGACTCAGACTCAACACTCTTCCGGTCTCAGTCCAGACTCAGACCAATCTATCTTTTGGTCTCAGTCTTGACTCAAGCTCGACCCCCTTCAGGTCTTAGTCTTGACTTAGACTCATCCCTCTTCTGGTCGCTGTCTTGAGACCAAACTTAAAGACTTAGACTCAAGCTCAACCCCCTTTAGGGCCCGTATGTATAAAACTTCTCAGAAATGCTCTTAAGAATAGTCTTAAGCTTTGACTTAAGTGTCAAAAAATTTACAGTTAGAGCAATGATGTGAACATGAGTTCCATCAGTGGGTCCAATAACTCCAGGAAAGCCCACAATCCCCACAAAAGTGGCTTGTTTTTGCAGTATGGTTTGGCGGTCAGTTGAAAATTCAATAAACTGCCATATAGTAGTGGTCAAAAGTGATGTCCGGCCTAGGAAATTTTACATATTTTCATCCTTAATTAAAAAAAAAAGTAAGCATATTTGTAAGCATATTGCATAGTTGCTTAGTCAGTTGTTTTATTTGTGATTATAATGCAATGAAACAAGCCAAATTGTGCGGTCATAATTTTTGGACATGCTATCATACAAAGAAGTTATGAACACATGCAAAAATAAGAGGACCAATGAAATTTAAATAACGTATGTTGTAGTCAGTGTGCCAATGTTGCCATTTTAGCAATTTTGTCACTAGATTTAGTGACTTCCGCATCCCTTTAGAGACTTTTTTCAAAAACCTAACAACAAAATCAATTTCTTGGACAAACGTTATCTACATTCCGAGACTCTCCCATGACGTCATAAAGGCGAGTTCACTAATCTATATAAATATAAATATGGATCAGTGAACTCACCTTTATGAGGTAATCTAGCAACCAGTTTTAGCTACTTTCAATTGAAAGCAGTTGGCAACACTGGTCAGTGTTTTTTTGTCCTTTGTATTTTAACGGTTTAAGTGAAATGTGGGGTCATAAAGAAAAAAAATCAAAACATCACTTTTGTGCCACTGTTGTGTTTGTTGGGGTTAGTGCCACAATATGTAAGAACCTGCTTACTGTGTCATCATCGGTGCATTGCTGCATTTTTCCAATTTTCCAGCCAAAAAAAATTAATTACTACTTTAATTTCTGCTGTTAGAGCATTGATATTTTTTACTTTATCAGTTACAAAAAAAAAAAAAACTTTTTGATCTTTACAATTAAGTTTGTATCGTTTTATCAACTCCATATTATCATATAAGTCCAATATACAGTGGGGCAAAAAAGTATTTAGTCAGCCACCAATTGTGCAAGTTCTCCCACTTAAAAAGATGAGAGAGGCCTGTAATTTTCATTATAGGTATACCTCAACTATGAGAGACAAAATGAGAAAAAAAAAATCCAGAAAATCACATTGTAGGATTTTTAAAGATTATTACTCCTAACTAGGTTAGGAGACCTCTCCAGCTCTCTTAAATAATTTAGCAGTTGAGACCTCTTTTAACACTTAGAAACCTTTATGAATCACTCTTATTCTTAAGTCTAGGAATACGAGTAAAATTACGTCATTCTTAGAATTTTGACACACTTAAGACTAAACTTTTACTTTGAGCTGCTTTATACATACGGCCCCTGGTCTTGAGACCAAACTGAACCTTCTTCTGGTCTCAGTCTAGACTCAGACATATCTCTCTTCTGGTCTCGGTCTTGACTCAAATGAAACCTTCTTCTGGTCTTGGCCTTGAGACTGAACTCAGCCCTTTTCTGGTCTCTATCTTCCCTCTGACACAGATGTGCTGGTGTCAACTACAACACTTGTTCATATTACGTCAGAAGACTTCGAAAAAAACTAGTCTATGACATTTTAAAGTGCTTTTTTCCTCCTTGATAGCTTCAGTCCACACTCATTCAAATGAATGACGAAATAAAGATCAGCACTGTCTTCAAAACAGCTTTTCTGGAGTTCCACAAAAGAAAGAAATTCATACTTTTCTTTTTACTTTTTTGATTATGGAATCAAATCTTGAATATAGCAAGTAAACTCTTCTCTTTTTTCTCTCTCTGTGAAATAATGAGTGCTTAGTACTTTTGGGAAGTCTACACACATTTTAATTTCATTTCTGTACAACTATTTATGGACCACTGCAGTATTTATCTGAACAAGGGTTTTGTGTCAATTGTGTCAAAGGGTTTTTGAGTCTATTATTGTGGTCTTATTCATTTCAGATTTAACAGTCCATAATAAGCATGTAAAACAAAACAATCTTTTGTCAGTTACATGTCAGTCAGTCTCTTTCTGTCTAAATGGGCATTTTTCTGACCAGAAGAAGCTCTGCAAGACTTATCTTACATATGGAATGTTGAATATGAGGTATGGAATGTTGAATGTGAATATTTTTACCACAGTGGTTTTGGTTTCATTCGAATACCAGCTATACTGCTAAAACCTCTTTGAAATGGCAGAATATTGTGTTTCAAACTGCAGTACTTTGTGTCTTATTTCCATTGTGTGGCATCTAACATTTTTTGGGGTATTCAAATGACAAAACAGAGTCTTTATGTTTGTAATTTGTGAATGTCCAGCCTCAAATACAAATCAGACTGCAATCAATACTTCAAATGTTGATAATGGCAATGCCAGAGCACATTGACTTAGTCATCATGACCTACAACATGCTCGGAGCTACTGAGCTGCGCGTGCAAACAAAACTAATATTAGCATTTGATATGAATCAGAGTGTAGCTGTGTGAGAGCAGCGTGAACCTGAAATGGTTCTGTCACTCCTACGATGCTGTTGGTGTTATTACTGTAATATCCCAGAATATATTCTCCCGGGTCTCTTGGCAGATCCTCCTCAGAAAACGTCACCTGAAGGTCATGAATAAAACAAAAAATTAAGGATAATGCTAGTCAGCACTGGCTACTCAATAAATCTTCTTTGTTAGTATTAATACTGTTTGGTCATTCCCTAATCTTAAAGCTTTCAATCCAAGATTATCCTGGAATGATTTGATTTTGGGATTAAAGCATTGTCCAGTGCACAGAGAGAGACGTAGTATCTGCTAGTATCTTTCAGATCTCATCACAACTTACGCACACGACTAACAAATGCCACGTCCTACCTGTGTCGAATGTTCAGATTTGGCCCATAGATATGCAGCGTAATCCTTGTGGTGCTTAAATCCCACCTAAAACAAAGTAAAATGAGTATTTAAATAATGTAAGGTGCAGATTTGGTGGGTGTCTGGAGGTGTTTTTAATTAACATTTAAAAGGAATTTAATCAGAGACTGAAATTTGCTCATTAAATCACAAACGGCAGACAAAACTATTTCGAAATAAAAATGAAAAACAATATAAAGGAAATCAAAAGAATAAAATATCTGCAGTGTATCATAGGATGTGAATATACATTGTACTGAATATTTCTGTATAGATAACAAACAAGTACATCCTGGTCATGTTGCAAGCTAAACAACAGTGACAACAGAAACAAAATGTAGAGAATGTAGTCATTTTGCTTCTCAGTGCATGAATATTTCTTGCAATTTATTATTTGAATTTTCTTCTCAGATTTGTGAGTTTATCTCGCAATACTGAAACGAGACAGAATTGTGAGATATAAACTCTGAACTGTGGGAAAAGGTTACAAATACATTTAATTATATTACTATTATTATTTGTATCCTGTGGTGGAAACAAGGTTCCATAATAATTACACCATGGGCACTTCACATTTATCAAAATAATTTATAATATAATATTTTGTGAATTTATTGTGCTGTTAAATTTTTTTTTTTTCCATTACAAAAATATGCAACAATAATTGCAAGTAATTTATAGGTTAATTTCCTTGAAAACAAAAGGCTATGCTTCTGTGGTTCTTTCACAACATTGCTCTGTTTGCTAAATTTTCCTGACTTGCCCAACATAGCAACACTGGCTCAACCAATTGCGTGAGTTTGGGGCGGGACTATCTATTCATTGACCAATAGTAGGTAGGGAGAATGTTTGGGGAAAAATGTCTAAAAAATTATTATTGCTGAGAAAGTGGAGCACACAAATGCACACTTTACCTTTAATAAGATTAATAGAGTTAATTACACCTATTATAATGTCATTGTGGTTGTGTAATTATTATAATAACATAATGCGTGTAATTTGTGAAGAAGAAAAAAAATCAGTTGTGGACAGGCTGAGCTTTAATGACATTAATGTTAAAAGTAGTTTTATGTGAAAATGCCTTTCATTTATTACCTTGTACAGTCCCACCCAGTCCCATGAACTCCTCTGAAAGCCATGGGCCATTGAGAGTTTAACTGTAGCATCAGAGAACTTGGTCCATTCCTTCTCCACTTCCAGTGTCACTAATGGTAAGTTCACCTTAAAGGGAAACTGAGCAGGACAGAGGAAGATGGGACAGAATCCTACAATCAACTGTAGGTATTATGAATATAAAAATTTAATATTTATATCAACAGACAAAAAAAATCAGTGAGAAAATCATTTGAATTTATTAGCAGTTTGTCTGAGGCCACAAGGAACTTTCTTTAACTCGTAAATGTCAAAGAGTTACGATAACAGATGCCTCACACGACAGGCCTGAAATACATACAGCACTGCTCACAGACTATCCAGTGTCTTTCCTGCCATTTTTAGACTCACATGCAAAGAGAAGAGGGCGGACACCGGCTTGTGATCACTAATAGTGAAGCCCATATGACTGCGGTAGTAGTGCTGGGAAACTCTGGTGGCACCGCCCAGCCATGAGGTCAAACCCCGCTGTAGTGCAGAATTATGGGACGGCACGGGGGAGCCCGTCCTGCGCAGACGCCACAAGATGCGATCCGTCCACGCAGGCTTCCTCTTTTTTGCACTAGGACAGGAAGCCAGGTTTAAACGAGAGTCCAGAGAAACAGAACAACTCATGTAAAAAAAGGGCATAACAGACCTTGTGTCATAAGTATGTGTCCCCACATCAAACTTGTAAGTTGGTGGGAAATTGAGGGGTCCTTCTATAAACCCCTCCAGAACGGATTCGCTTTTTTTCGCCATGTTGAGCTGTGACAAACACATAACAAAAAGGCAAAATGTTCTTTCACTTTATCTTTTTAACAACAACCCAATCTAGCAGACATCATCACAACATATAGTGTGCACATCATGCACTGAAGAGCTGAATCTGGCCGGTTTGTTTATAGATGTAGTACACTGACCTCTAGTGTTAATAGAATGGGGAAAAAAACAGTACTGCCAAGATCTGTACAGAGACATCTAGTGTGATGTGATTGAGACAAGGACAATTTTCTGAGCTTATCTGATACGTTCAATATTGCTTCAACAGTTAGATCGGTACATACCCTTGAAATCACATGCACCTGTGCAATCAGTTTCCTTTATGGTCTCCAAGCAACCTGTGACACTATAGCTCTTTTACCTGATCTTTTTCCCATAGTAGAGGCAGTTTGTCATTCTCAATTGCACTTTTCACCACGTGAATGTCATAACCTTCGATTCGGAAGTTCAGATCACCGAACCAGAACACCACACTGTGGAGAATGCAATAATTTCCAGTGAACAGGTCAAAAGTACAAAGTGTAATCTGTACAAAGTACATCTGTATATAGCTACTCAGATTAATGCTCAAATACAGATTAAAAGACTGTATTAAAAGAACATTACAGTTTAAATGCCTCAACCAAAACAATATTGTTCTGCAACACGCTTGTAGTTTTGTTTTAAAAACAAATATGTAACATTTCTTACATATTGTAGTTTATTAATACATAAGTAAGCCTAGGCATCAAAGATATGTTTTTTTCCAGGTACCCACTCGTGATCCAGCACACCCACAGCCGTGCCGCCCTCGAACTGCTGCTGCTGCAGGATGCTTTCAAAGTCCTCCATCCGCTGCTCCAGATTACGCATGTGAGCCGGCAGGTGGCAGTTGAGGAAGCACACAGGGTGTCCGAAAACCATCATGCGTGCACTTACACCCCCTTTATTCCCCTGAGACAAACATATAGAGGCAGAGGATAATGGGAAGGCATTAATAATACAGCAGCTCTGGACTCCATAGTAAGGTGTTTTTTTAAGTGCCTGCCCTACTGGTGAAAGAAAAACAACATTATTATAGAGATTATTTACTCACCCTTATGTTGTTCCATACTATTATGCTCTTATTTTTTTTCCATGGAATCAAGCGGAACATTTTAAATTTTTAATCTTCATGCAGCTCTTTTTTCCATGCGATAACAGTTTATAGCAACCACAGCTGTCAAACTCCAATAAAGAACAAACGTTCAATTGATTGGAAAGGTTGGAATTGGTTGAATGAATAGACAGCTTTCACAGAATGACTCGGTTATTTGAGTCTTGAACCATACATCTTGTTTATGAATGAAGAGAATGAACTTGGATGAATCTTGTTTGTGAAAAAGAATCAACACTTGACTGACTGACAAGCGTTATTAACTAAAACTATTAATAATCTATTAAAACAATAAACATAAATTGAAATAAAGCTGAAAAATGTGTATAAAATAAAATAAAAAATGAAATAAAATAAAATAAATATTAGATGAAACTTAAAAAATGAAAATGTTGCCTTGGCAACTAACTGAAATAAGTTTAAATCCTACAACTACTAAAGTCGAATACAATTAAATTAAATTAAAGCTATTTAAAAATATATATATTTTTAAAAAAAAAGACAAAAACAACAAAATTACTAAGACTTCAACTAAAATGAAAACTGAAAACAGCCAATTCAAAATATGAATTAATATTATTAGCTATTACACTGCTGACTGAGTGATGCGGGACATGTTGAACGTTCAATTTTTCATGTAATTCAATCTTACATTTAAAATGATGCAAAACTTTATTTTTTAACACCTAATACTTCATATTTATATCAAGGTATTAATGTTGTCTTTTTTCTATAGCAGCTTGATAAAAGTTATGTCACGCAGTTTAAACAAGGGAGGAAAAATTATAGATATGCTTTGTTGTAACAAAAAAATACTGACAAAAATAAAAACAAAAGAATACTGATGATGCTCAAACATTTTCTGGAGCCTTTTAGACATGTAGGGAGTTAAATGAAAATTAAACTAATTTCACTCAAGAAAGATTCTGTGTTACTTGTTGAGTAAATGATTCAATGACTCATGCATAAAACGTGCTTGTTGCCACCTACTGGGTAACAATTTAACCTGCAAAAATTACTGAATGAATCGCTAAAAAATCTTTTCGGTAAACATATTCAAGTCACCAGAATGAATCTGCCTGCATGTCCTTTTTGGAGCTTGACAGACATTGCCACTCTGAACTATTGTTGGAACAACATGAGTAAATGACCGAATAATGACCACATTTTCATTTGTGAGTGAACTATCCCTTTAAACACTGTGCTGAAAGGACAGGTGTGCTGTGCAGTCAAGAGTGAAATGGGCTGTGCAGAGACCTGCAGTTTATTAGCGGCGCTGGTGCTGCAGTTCCCACGGGTTGTGCTCTGTCTTTCTGGGTAACGCACTGGGGAGAACTGAGAGCTGCTATGTGTGTGTTCAGTCTGCATTAGATCAGACAGAGATGAACCTGATGTGTGTGTGTTTGTGCACTGGAAGACAGATCAGAAACAGAGCTGCTGTATGTCCTACTGTGACCTACTCAAAGGAGACTGCAGAATGAGCCTGGAGCCATGCTGACAACAACACACACAGGGTCACACACACACACACATACACAAAAACATGCCTTTTCGGTAAACATATTCAAGTCACCAGAATGAATCTGCCTGCATGTCCTTTTTGGAGCTTGACAGACATTGCCACTCTGAACTATTGTTGGAACAACATGAGTAAATGACCGAATAATGACCACATTTTCATTTGTGAGTGAACTATCCCTTTAAACACTGTGCTGAAAGGACAGGTGTGCTGTGCAGTCAAGGGTGAAATGGGCTGTGCAGAGACCTGCAGTTTATTAGCGGCGCTGGTGCTGCAGTTCCCACGGGTTGTGCTCTGTCTTTCTGGGTAACGCACTGGGGAGAACTGAGAGCTGCTATGTGTGTGTTCAGTCTGCATTAGATCAGACAGAGATGAACCTGATATGTGTGTGTTTGTGCACTGGAAGACAGATCAGAAACAGAGCTGCTGTATGTCCTACTGTGACCTACTCAAAGGAGACTGCAGAATGAGCCTGGAGCCATGCTGACAACAACACACACAGGGTCACACACACACACACATACACAAAAACATGCTCGCAGTCTCATTTCCACGCTCGCTCCTTGACTCCGCTTTTCCTGTAATCATCAAAGACATCACACGGTGGGAGTCGTGACATTATGCAGATATTTGATGTTCGACATTAAAGTACTAATGCAGCACAACAATCACTGATCACATAAGCGTTTAGAAAGTAGACACTCTTTCCCAGAGGTCTTTGCTCGTTTGACTCACCCAGCAGCCTCCCAACCCAGTGCGTGTGCTTTGGGTTTGTACTCCTCTGAGGAAGGGAAGGTGGCAGAATTTGGAAAACACCAGTAAGAAAACCCCCTGCATCCTCTGAGATGCCACCTAGACAGAAATGAACACATTTCAAGTTCAACTCCTCATTAGTGCAGTTTAGTAAAGCATACATCATTATTAAGATTTAAACAAACCAAGTCCAAAAGTATACTTCAGTTTTTACGCATACGGTAGGGTCTGCATACAGTGCATGTGATATAAATTTTGCCATCCGCATATTACGAGTGTACTCTAGTTTGTCCACAAAGTGGCAACACTGCCACCGCCTGTTTTTAACAGAAAATATTTTAGTCAGAAAATAAACTGATACAGAACAACAAACAACTCCCGGGGATGCAACAACAGATGCTCAGGTTGACTAGTGTAGGTAAGGCTGTTAAAGAATAGTTCACCCAAAAATTTTAATTGACTCACCCTCAGGCCATCTAAGATGTAGCTGAATGAGTTTGTTTCTTCATCTGAACAGATTTGAAAATATTTAGCATTCCAGCATTTGCTCACCAATGGATCCTCTGCAGTGAATGGGTGCCGTCAGAATGAGAATCCAAACAGCTGATAAAACATACACAATAATCCACAAGTAATCCACACCACTCCAGTCATTAAGTGAAAAACGCCATCCTTAAGGCGTTTTAACTTTAAACAGTCACTTCTGGCCAAAATTCCAGTTCATAATTCGTAATAAGTGAAAAAGTCTGTCCCCTGTTGTCCTCTTTTTTTTGTTGCTTATAAATATTGCTTGATCTGCGCATATTTCTCTGCTGATTCAGATGAGATGGCTTTTTCAATGGAGAAAGCAATAATATAGATCATGGACTCATAATTTTGGCCGAAAGCAATGGTTTGAAGTTAAAAACATCTTAAGGGATTTGCAGTTTATCACTTTACAATATGTTAATTGATAGAATGTTGTAGATCACTGCAATGTTTTTATCAGCTGTTTGGACTCTCATCCTGACGGCACCCATTCACTGCAGAGGATCCATTGGTGAGCAAGTGATGTAATGCTAAATTTCTCCATATCTTAGATGGCCTTAGGCATGAGTACATTTTCATTTTTGGGTGAATATTATTCTGAGATACACACAACTCCAGTTTAAACAAGTACAAGTAAAAGTGCCCTAGGGATGGTAATATTCCCCAATTCGGTGCATCGGCATAAAAGTTAACGATGCATTGATTTATAAAAGTGTGCATGGGATACATTGATGCATCGTTTCTAACATATTTGCACTGGAAAAAAACTATTTATTTTATACATAATTATTAGTAGATGCACTATACTTTTATTATTTAGAAAGGGACCAATCATTTGTGACCAATATTTTATATGTAGATTGATTTATCCTCTCTAAACTGTTTGTCAAGCGTGTTCTCTCACACCACTGCTGCTAAGTGAACATGACGTATCAAAATACTACAGAGACGTTAGAAGGCGTTAGAAATCAGTAAGTTAATTTATGATTTGCTGTCTGTACCAAAAAAATTAAAGTGAACTATCTGTACCATATTGAATTACATAGCATCATTTTTTTCATCGCATCATATTGCATTGAATCGCAGAGTGTTGAATCAAATAGAAATTGGATCGCACTGCATCGTAAAAGGGGTGAATCGCATCGCATCGGTAGCTGCTTCATATGTATATTTAATGTATCATATCATTGGCTATATGCATCGAGATGTGCATCGCATCAGCCTCAGTTATGGAGAAGCAAACCCCTAATGTGTGCTAGAAAGTATCATCCAGTGTCTGCGCTATTTCTCTCCAGAAATTCCAAGCAATTTTTTTGTTGTTAATTAGAGTTGCATGTATCTCTTAACTGCTTGACACAAGGGCTTGTCAGTGGGGGTATTTATTTTTGTTGCATCTCCAATAGCTTGTCATGGTTCAGTCTCATCTGTTTCTTTGCTGGTCAGTGGATAAACCTTGTGGATAGACCCCAGAAACCTCCTAGCAACACCCTCACAACCATACAAAGCACACCAGCAACTGCACAGCAGCAAGCTAAGAACTCATCAGAACATCTTAACGATCACATAGCAATATGATTGATTTCTTCTGTGCAATACAGTTTTTTTTTAAAAGGATTTTTGTAACCAAACAGTTTTGGTGACCATTAATATCTTGTGTGTTTAGAACATCATGAGGGGGTGTAAATGATGAGAGCATTTTTCTTTGGTCAACTTTCCCTTTAAGCCTGATATGCATTTGATTTCATACTGACCAACACGTATCCAAAACGACTGAGTGTGTCCATGCAGAGCTCACTCCATTGGTCTATGAAGAGAGCATCTTTGAGCCGCTTGTTAATCATAGAGTTTACTTCCTGCAGTCTAAAAAGAGATAAAAGAACAGAAGCAGGAAAAAAAGAAAGATAGAGGAGACAAATAATACCAATAAAACAAGGACAAACAGGAGAAGATGGCAAAAAGGACATGGAAATCAGAAAACGCAGAGAGAGCACACAGAGAATGTAGTGGAAGGTTAATTAATTCAGCAACAATAATTGAAGGTATAAAACTGAACAATGCTACACATTCTTACCCGACAACCACCATGTCAGTGCTCCCATTTTCAACACCAGGTCCAAACAAGGAAGTTAGGTCATCAGGTGGTATACCAGAGCCTACATTCCATGTGACAATATGCACTCTAAAAGGAATAAAGCATAATGTGCATTTCATGTAAAAAAAATTGTAATAGATTGCATGAAACATTTGTTATATATTCCCTACATAGGCAGCTATTATGAATGGCATTTCTCTCACAGTTACTCTTATTTATGGTGGATATATGTGGTGCTACACTAGGTTTTGGATCAGGGCTGTAGTTTTAAATCCATGGTCATATTCTCCTTTGCATTACGTCATGGTAATATGAGTCATCAAAATTGCTCAAATCAAAAAGCCTGGGATAAATGTCATCTGCTGTATTTAATAGCTTCCAAAACATGCTGAACGCTTTTAACTAATTAGAGCACATGCACGATGAGTAAACAGCATTACACATTATAAGGGTTCTGTCTATGTTGTCAAAGATGACAGGCTAAAGGATCCAGGAGCACATTCGTGTGTCTAGGAATGCTGCCAGCTCAACGCTCCTGTGTCCATTCTGTCACCAGGCTCGGAGAAAGATATTATGCTGATTTAAGGGATGAGAAAATCTCAGCTCTGCTGGTATGCATTTTTTAGGTTTATTATGCCTGCATACCACTAGCTGATTTCTCAGCTGGTGCTAACTTAACTCCATGATGAGTTAATAACCCCAGAAACTTTCGGACCACATCTAGCAGGTTTAAAATCTGAGGTTTTCATGGCTGTGGCAGTGACCAATAAGCTTCTCCAAGTGCTGAAGAGCTGATTGTCCCGTTCCGAATCAGAGTTTTTAGTTAGCAAATGCAAAATCACATATAAGATTTGAGATGTTGAGTCAGCTAATGGGATGCTGCCTTAAACTGACAGATTCTCTCCCCTCAGGCCAGTGGTTATAAGCAAACCCAGCAGAAATCCAATGACTGAGTGACTGCAGTCAAATCATATTATATCATTGGGACTGAGAAATGTTAAAACAACACCACACTTGCTAGAGTGAATGAATGAATGAATGAGAAATCATTTTTAATAAATCAGTTGAATGAATAATTCATTGACTCACTCATTTTGTTGGTGAATGACCAGTGTTTTAGAGCGATTTGGTTGTGTGAATAATTCAATGACTGACTCATTTTGTTGGTAAATGATCAGTGTTTTAGAGCGATTTGGTTGTGTGAATTATTCAATGACTCACTCATTTTGTTCATGAATGATCAGTGTTTTAAAGCAAATTGGTTGTGTGTATAATTCAATGATTTGCTCATAAAGGCAGCCACTTCTTTCATTAATGAATGAGTTAGCATTTTAGCTGACTTGTGGAATTACAATGGCCACGGCATACACTTGTCCATTAAGTTCAGAAGATCCAATATGTCATTTTAGGTTTCAAAAGGGTGTTCACAAGTGCCTCTTTGAGACCACCATGCGCCCTTGATGCACTGAGACAAGTTTTGCAGCAGACCTCTACCTGACAGTAAAAGCAACATTATGTCACTAAATTGTGGACTTAGAGGAAGACCAAAAGGTCTTAGGGTTCCATCTGACAGGGCTAAAGACAATAACTTGTTTTGTTCTTGAGTGAAAAATCAGTGTTTTGTATGAATCAATGGAATGAATGACTCAATGACTCAGTCATGAAGACAGTCATTGTCGCCACCTACTGGCATAACAATGCAAAAAAATTCTCACCAATGCAACAAACAAAAAGTGAAAAATCTCAGTGCTGTTGCACTTTGACATTAGCATTTTTGGATAGATTCTCAACCAGATACCCAGCCTAACTGTTATACAGTTATTGACAAGGTATATAACAAGTCTCACCTGAAATCCCCCTCTTCGCTGATGGTCTTGTTCAACTTCTTCTCAGTAGTGTCTCCTGTGTTTGGCACATGTGCTTCGGGACTTGGAATCGGTTGAGGAACGGGGCTAGACGGGGGGCTGGGGTTTGGGTTGAGGATTGGTCTGGCGATTAGGTTATTGTGTGTGTTAGCACGGACAGTCTGTGATGGAGGGCTTGGAAGTGTTGGGGGGTTGAAACCAAGTTGAGAAGTGGGGCTCAGCGTGTTTTGAGGGCTGCAATAAGGCAATGGTGACTCGGTTGGGGAGTACGACAGGAAATTGGGCATTCCCGTAGCTTTAAACTGCAATGGAGACTCAGTGGGTCTGGAGACTTTGATTGATGTCTTGGTGCCCAGTGCCGTAGGCCTGGGTCGACTGATACTGATGCATTTTGTGGATTGTGCAGTGGAGTCTGGTCTGGTTCTCTCCTGAACGGCTGGGTTTGTCTGCAGTGCCAGGGTCTGTCCCAACACTGGTGGCTTTCCATTCATGAACGTATGGCAGTGTGAGGATGCAGGCATTTTGCAAGGGTTTCCAAGCAGGGCTGGAACTGGTGGTTTGTGGAGTCCTAGAACTCCAGTATGTTCTTTGGGCATTGGGCAGCTCTGAACGGGCTGCATTGGATCCATTTACCTGTGAAGACAATACAGACAGCCATGGAGGTGTTCAAGGAATGTTCCAGGTTCAATGCAAGTTTTTTGCTGGTAGTCAACATTAAATTGGTCAAAGACAAATAGTGTCCACAATAGAGAAAAAAAATATTATTTTTTAATTCATTTTTAAAAACGTGCCAAGTTTTGAAGAAGTTTTATCTTTTTTAAGAAAATTTTTAATTTAATGACTGTAAAATATAAGGTGGTATAACCATCAAGTAAAAAGTATTAACATATTTTCTTTACATCTTGAATAAATGTCATTAACTATTATTAAAAAAAATTAAATAAAAAGGTTATTTTAAATATATCACAGTAAAAGTTCTTTCACAAATACCATGATTTACTAATTTATAAATATTCTTATGTTTTTGAGTCGCTCAACAAAATTCTAAACTAACATGCTTTGTAAAAATTAAAATGATTTGACATTTTATAAGACTTATTGACCTTCACACTGACATGAGGTTCTCCAGGGGTCCTCTCTATGATATTACTTCCTGTTTTATGTGGGTACTTTGGTTTTGGTTTTTCAAATATTAGTACGTAGTGAAGCTTTCTTTTTTTCTCCTTAAGAAATAATAATAAAGTTACATATCAAACAACATTTATTAAACAAATTTCATTCTTTTAAAGAGACTTCTTAAAAATCATTATCAGGAGTTGTATCATCTTAATTTTATGCATTTTTAATGCATTGTTGATTAAATAGTACATAAAAAAGAGCATCATATCGTTGACCTTAACCGCAAATGCTGTTCATTGAGCTTAACTTATATTGATCCCAGAACATTCCTTTGATAAATGGTGGCAAAATCATGAAGGACAAAATGGAAAGGGTGGCTAAACCAGAAAATAGATGCTGTGAATGCAGAGTAAGATGAGAGAGCTGGGTTTGTGTGTCCTTCACACTCCTCTGCCTTCTCCCACGGTCAAAGACAGAGACTGTTGCTGTCTGCAGTGGACGGCTGAGTGTGTGAAGAGCTTTGGACAGTAGCCAGGGCTAAATGTCCCCGCTATGTACCGGTCCCCTCTTGCTTTCTTCCTTTCCTGAGACGTCACTGCTGACATCAGTGAACTACAATCAGCTAAGATCAATCCTTTTCTTCAAATGACAACTATATACCCTCCCCTCTGTCCTGATCTACTTTCCTGTTGCTTGGCAACAACTTTCAGTCCCAACACCCCCCTTCCAAACATTCTTTCCTTTTAACATTCCGGAATATTTCCTTTAATAAGCAGGACTCTGATCGATAGGGCAATCTTTAAAGAAAGTGCTAGGGATAATGGCCATCACATAGCATTAGCAATGATGCCTCTTTCGCCATCTGTTGCAGAATAATAGCTCAGAGCTTTTACAAATTGGTGTCTTGGGACAGATCTTTGGTGAGATGACAGAATGCTTTCTCAAGTACATGAGTTATATCTTAGAAAATGCTATAAACATTCCTAACAGAGTTTAGCAAACATGGCCAGTCTAAACATGCATATATACACATGCTACACAGAAGATGCAACAATTCATATCAAAATCACATACTGACAAAACTGAGGAGCTGTTTTGTTTATGGCTGATATATATTTTATGCAAATCATAATTCTAATGTTTTTAACACGATGTGCAACACAGATGTCACATATGAATGTATATGAAAATATATTAATCAATGTCTGATATTTATTTTAATGGCAATTATTTGAATGCACATTAATGTACATTACAGTAATTAAGTGTTATATATATAAAAAAGTAATGTTTAGTAAAGTTAATCAATGAAAAGATAAATGGAAAACATAACCGCATGTACGGTAATATAAGAGCTCATCTGCTCACACAGTATTTAGCGCACTGTAATAGGGTGGCATAATGAAAACAGGTCATCATTAAATATTTATAAAATTTAAAAATGTATAATGATGACAAATTCTAACAATGAACGGAGCCAAGTGAAAAAATATATTCACAAAATGTAACTATTTATTCGTTGATGGTATTTATGTTACCTTTTACACTTCTGCTGTTTAATGAAGTAGGCTACTTTGTGCTTCATTGTTTTAATGTAACATGTTATTAAAGGTCATTAAAAAGACTAATGCCTACAAAAAAACGACACCTGCCATATTTCACACGAGTTAAACAAGGTCACAGGTTCTGGAGGGGTTCATCTATGAATATTTTTCTATTTATATATAATTTTAACTAATTGTGCTTATATTTTCATGCTCACAATCATGATATTTCAACTTTTTCCCCAATTGTATGCGAGTTTTACATCCTATTAGTCACTAGTAATAGAAAGAAAACAACATTTCTGCAGTATATGCAAATGGTAGAGACAATTTAGTTTGAAACCATCCTTACTTTCCATTCATTCATTTTAGTGAATGCTGGATTTGTCATTATTAATAATAAATATTGGACATAGCCTATTACTTTTGAATCAGATGATTTTGACTGACACTGAATGATTACACATATATTGTGAGAAAACTGAAAAAGCAGGAGATTTCACTCAAAGAAGTCAATGATTCTGAACACTGAACACATTCATACAAAATATCATCAGGCTACATATATTAATAATTTATCAACTTTCCAATCCATTTGGCTTTGTCTCAAGAATCAGCGAGTAGGCTAGTCGTGTGTCGCAAGAAAAATACTATTTAAATATCTCACAGAGCCCGCTGGACACCAAACAAAATCTCGAGTAGCCTATATAATAATCGTCATTTCCACAAGCAGCCACGCGCCTATCGTGAACAAGGTCATCTGCCCTCGCGGGGCAATTAAGAGTCCGCAGATAATTCACCGTTTCACACGCTGATGGAATGGACATCTAGGTTATGGAAATGGTCTCTTTGACAGACAAGCTAGGTCTTTTTTAAAGTTGTTTGTCAGACGACATAAAGAAAGTGCTAGGGATAATGGCCATCACATAGCATTAGCAATGATGCCTCTTTCGCCATCTGTTGCAGAATAATAGCTCAGAGCTTTTACAAATTGGTGTCTTGGGACAGATCTTTGGTGAGATGACAGAATGCTTTCTCAAGTACATGAGTTATATCTTAGAAAATGCTATAAACATTCCTAACAGAGTTTAGCAAACATGGCCAGTCTAAACATGCATATATACACATGCTACACAGAAGATGCAACAATTCATATCAAAATCACATACTGACAAAACTGAGGAGCTGTTTTGTTTATGGCTGATATATATTTTATGCAAATCATAATTCTAATGTTTTTAACACGATGTGCAACACAGATGTCACATATGAATGTATATGAAAATATATTAATCAATGTCTGATATTTATTTTAATGGCAATTATTTGAATGCACATTAATGTACATTACAGTAATTAAGTGTTATATATATAAAAAAGTAATGTTTAGTAAAGTTAATCAATGAAAAGATAAATGGAAAACATAACCGCATGTACGGTAATATAAGAGCTCATCTGCTCACACAGTATTTAGCGCACTGTAATAGGGTGGCATAATGAAAACAGGTCATCATTAAATATTTATAAAATTTAAAAATGTATAATGATGACAAATTCTAACAATGAACGGAGCCAAGTGAAAAAATATATTCACAAAATGTAACTATTTATTCGTTGATGGTATTTATGTTACCTTTTACACTTCTGCTGTTTAATGAAGTAGGCTACTTTGTGCTTCATTGTTTTAATGTAACATGTTATTAAAGGTCATTAAAAAGACTAATGCCTACAAAAAAACGACACCTGCCATATTTCACACGAGTTAAACAAGGTCACAGGTTCTGGAGGGGTTCATCTATAAATATTTTTCTATTTATATATAATTTTAACTAATTGTGCTTATATTTTCATGCTCACAATCATGATATTTCAACTTTTTCCCCAAGTGTATGCGAGTTTTACATCCTATTAGTCACTAGTAATAGAAAGAAAACAACATTTCTGCAGTATATGCAAATGGTAGAGACAATTTAGTTTGAAACCATCCTTACTTTCCATTCATTCATTTTAGTGAATGCTGGATTTGTCATTATTAATAATAAATATTGGACATAGCCTATTACTTTTGAATCAGATGATTTTGACTGACACTGAATGATTACACATATATTGTGAGAAAACTGAAAAAGCAGGAGATTTCACTCAAAGAAGTCAATGATTCTGAACACTGAACACATTCATACAAAATATCATCAGGCTACATATACTAATAATTTATCAACTTTCCAATCCATTTGGCTTTGTCTCAAGAATCAGCGAGTAGGCTAGTCGTGTGTCGCAAGAAAAATACTATTTAAATATCTCACAGAGCCCGCTGGACACCAAACAAAATCTCGAGTAGCCTATATAATAATCGTCATTTCCACAAGCAGCCACGCGCCTATCGTGAACAAGGTCATCTGCCCTCGCGGGGCAATTAAGAGTCCGCAGATAATTCACCGTTTCACACGCTGATGGAATGGACATCTAGGTTATGGAAATGGTCTCTTTGACAGACAAGCTAGGTCTTTTTTAAAGTTGTTTGTCAGACGACACTTGTTTATACGCTGCAGTGTCTCGAGGTGAAGGACATCACGCGCATCTCTTGCGCTTCGAACAGAAGAGCGTCACGGTAAGAGACTGTCTCCAGGCATATTTGACTGAGCCGTCGACTCACGTTTCGTTTTAAAAGCACAATTAAGTTGATATCGAAAGAATTCTTACCTGTCCTGTTTCTCTGCACCGACGCAAGTGTGTGTGTGTGTGTGATGTGAGCGTCTCTACAGGACACACACACACACACACACACACACACTTCCACCGGTGTGATAATGAGTGATGGAGAGCGGATACGTCAGTCCCAGGAGGACACGAGGAAAGGCAGCGAAGACTGTGAGTGAAACATCCTCAACAGACACTTGACTAGTAATGACTCTGTTTGACTAAAGATGAGTCGAGGCGCCGGAAGATCAGCGTGAGCATTACTCGTGGAGCACCATTAACATGACAGGACAGCATACTGTATATCCACAACTCACCAGAACTATTCTCACAATCCAATCAGTAATGATCCTGATGCTGAAGGTCTAATCATTCGTTACATATCTGTAGGCCTACTATCATCATCACCTATTGGATCAATTTATTAAAAATGGAAATCATATCAGGCTAGTTTACTTTTAACAACACTATTATTAGAGCATAGTCATTTCATGATTTTTTTTTTCATGATTCATTTTTGTCATGCGACTGGGTAATTTTTTAAAAACTGAAAATGTATTAGGAAATACTGCAGGTGTTTCTTAATTTAAAAAAAAAAATTCTCAGGTTTTTGACATGTTTCGGACAGAGCATTATCCTGGAAATATTGTATTAATTGGCAGTCAGTTTATAGTTTTATTTGAAAATTTCACAATATTAGTGGTTTTTACTGTATTTGTCATCCCATAAATGCAGCCTTGGTGAGCATAAGAGCATAAAAAATAAAATCATACTGACCTCAAATTTTTGTAATATTATTTCACATGTACAATTGTACATTAAATTTATTATTATATAAATAAGACATTTATATTCAGACAATGATAACCTTTTTAATTGCATTATTTTATTACTTTGATCTTTTGCTTTGTTGCATTATGTTTGTGCCAATTAAAGACACTACCTGTTCATTTTTTAAATGATACAAAAACTCTCATTCTTATTCTTACTGTAATGCAAAAATCCCCTAATTTATTATTTTCTATATCATTATATATTATTGAAATTGTAAAGTATTTTTAAATGATGGTAGTATTTGTTGTACTGTCTTTAACTTTAACTTAATTTCAAATTCATTGTATTAAAGTTTTAACAGTATGATAATATTAATAATGATGAATATGATAATGAGATAAAGATAATGAAACTTGAATGAGAATTAACACTGAGAATATTGTGATAATTACAGATAAACCGAAAAATTAAATGTCCAGATTTATTACGGGAAGGAGAATTTCTGGGCGGGGGGGGACTCTTTATGAAATTATTTTCATGCCAATTTATCAGATTTCCACCCAAAAGTAGCATTAATGTAATACAAAAAAATCTTATTGACAGTATTGAGCATTGCCCTGTCCAGATGCGTTTTCTCCACTTAATAAAATTAGCATAAATACTCAAGATAGCAAAGCATGAATTATGCTTACAATAATGTCACAATAAAATGTAATAGTTGTAAAAATATTCTTCATTTTCTTTTTGCTAAATATATAAATTTCTTTTGACTTAAATGTAATCCAGATTCCAGACAAGTTTTGTGAGATTCACCTAAAATAATGTCAGGAAGCACATTAGACTCAGCAGACCATATATACTGAATATGTGACATTAGGGACATGACCCGGTCCTCACCCCTCTTTCTCTTCAGCAGTTCTCTCATGGCAGCGCGGATCATTTTCCTCTCCTCAAAATCCACAGCCTTATCTAGCTAGTACATGCAATAAACAGAAGTGAAACACTTTCCTAAATATGGTTAAGAAGACATGATAACAAACCCACTGCGCCTGTAGCACCATTAGTTGCCTCTTACCATATTATTGAGGATCTCTTCATCCTCTATAGCTGCCAGCTGTTCGGCTGTCAGGGGACCCGTCATATCAGGTTGCTCTTTGGTACCTGCCTCTAATGTTCCCTTCTCACCCTCCATCTTTAGTGACAGCTGGGACAGAAGGAGGAACAGGAGGTGTTGATGGAGCCAGGTTACGAGATGTGTGTATCTCCATGTGTGCGTGGGAATGAGGGAGTACGTTTACGGAAAATTGAGGGAAAGAGATTCTAACTGAATGCTTTGTGCGAGAGCTACTAGTACAGAGATATTTTGAGAAAACCCAAGATGCTTGTTTGTTGCTACAAATTGCTAGTCTAATTAACTGCAGCCAAATTATTGGTTTGAGCGGCTTCTGGACAAACAGATTACATTTAAAAAATATTTGTGTGGTTGTTTTTTCACATATTAAATGTCAAGCTGCTTCAGGCCACACATAATGATGACTGTTTGCATCTGTTCCTGTGGAAAAGGACATCTGAAAGGCAACGTCCAAGTATTCATCTCAACATATACAGAAACCATGCTGGTTGGCATTGACGTAAGCCAGTGTTTTAGGATGTGTTTCGCACCTTCTGCCCATAGTTCTGTAAACAACTCAAAGGCAAAGACATCTGTGGAATAACATGCTTTATGAGTGGAGAATATTTCCCATAGTTCTTTGCAGCGAGTACAGTGGCCCCCAAAAATATTTAGACATTTAAAGGAATGAAAATTCTGTCATCATTCTCATGTCTTTCCAAACATGTATGACTTTCTTTTTTCTTTCTTTGGAAAGGAGATCCCAAACAACATTGGACCCCTTTGATTTCCATTGAATGGGGGGAACTTTCCTAATTTTTAAAGGTTGGAATGACATGAGGATGAGTAAATGGTAAATGAAGACATCATTTTTATTTTTGTGCGAACTATCCATTTAATAATTAAAAAATGTATTGATACCACTGCAGACAGAAAATATCAATCCAGGCATTCACTTTTAATCAAAAAATAGTGTTTTGTAGGTTTTAATGTGTATATATATATATATATATATATGTTTTTAAAAATTATATATATATATATATATTGTTGGTATTGTGGCTTTCAGTGCTTTTGTATTCACTTACAAAACTGCAAAATGTCCCTCGTGTTCCCTAAGAAACAGTGTTTGCTTATTTTTCCTCCTTTCCTCCCACTCCTCTTTTCACCATTAGTTTTGTGTTCTCTTACAAAAGTTTTGCATTTGTTCATGAAACTATGTTTGTTCTTAAAACTCACAATTATTGCATTCCCCCAAAAACTGCTGCGTTCGCTCGCAAACGTACAGAGCTCTATACATGACGTGAAAATAAATAAATAAATTGTGGCTTAAGAGTTTATTCCCACAATTGATTAATTAGTTCCCTTGTTGAATAATGGCTACGTTGTACTAATTTGTTCCCATGATTTTTTAATCAGCTCCCTCATTTTAATTAAATTGTGGTGACAGCGTAACTTGATTAAAGTGAGGGAACAACTTACCAATTTGGCCACTAAACGACGGAATAGATGAATACGTTTTGGGAATGAAGTTCTCCCAATAAACTCTGTGTACCCTCACAAAAGCATTGAAAAATAAGTCTTTCTCCCATATAATTTTTCCCCCATCACCATATATATCCCTTAATGGGCTCCATAGTTGTCAAACATTAGTGGATCATGTTCATAGCTAATGCCTTAAACTACTCTGATATCTGTGTAGACCAAAAGTCAATGCACAAGTGGCTCAGAAAATTGAATTAAGTCCTGAGAAAAGCTCTATCAGCATTTGAGTGCAGATGCCTCAAGCATCCAGATACACTTTAGTCCTGTTGTATGTTAGTATGTGTTGGGTTTAATGTGTGGGCTGAAGCTAGCAGAATAGATAATGTTGTTTCTGGATGCCATAATACAGTTTTACCCTAATAACACATAATAATGTCTGCAGAATTTATATAACCGCTCAAAAACAATTTGCTCTTACACTGGTCTAATAGCTGTTATGTAATCACACAATCACTACACTGAAAGATGGATGGAAATTCATTAGAAAAACAACAAAAAAGTTCTTGTAAAATAAGAAACAGAGAGATGAAGCTCACCGATCTCACTGCAGCTGTCCGAGAGGAAAGGTCTTGCGGTCTGATGTAGAAAGGTGAACTGTGGGATCACATACACTCAACTCAGCTCAGATGCTGGAGTGAGTTTTTCAGTCACCGTGAGAGCCCTCCCACCCGACCCTCATCACCCTCTTCTGAAGGGACCAGGAAAAAAAAGTGGAAAGAGCAGAACGGGACATTTAGAATTAGTGACGTATTTGGCACTGCTTGTCCTGATCTTTCCTTACCGTCAGTTTTTACGTCATTATTTTATCTAAACACTGTCACTTTCAAAAGTGGTATCGGAGTATTTATATGTTTGAAAACCAGAGGAAAGAAAACGTTGAGATAAACGGTGCTCCTCCAGCATGCTGTGTGTTGACAGTGATTGCATAAGCAGGTGGCCTGGCTCTATGCAGAACTAAACAGTGAATGAGTGGACAGACGGATAACACTGCCTTATTAAGGCATAAGAATGATGTTGCCTAGCAGCACCTCCATGTTTACACAGATCAGGCACATCCTTTTTTCCTATGCAGACATAAACACACTTGTCGCAGCAATTATCTGCAAAAGCAGGGGCCAGAAATGTAGTTGGCACATGTACATTTTCATGTTCACACCATTAGAGTATGATGGAGGCATTGTAATGAAAAAGGAGTGTTTGGCTCCACCTCGTGGTGGCTGATTGTGGTCATTAGCTGGCAGAGACGAGCTAGCATGACACATGGAAACAGTGAGGGTGAAGGAAACCTTGACTTAGACTGGATGTTCAGCGGGTCAGTGTGACTAATGTGGCATATTAGGCTAATTCTACAAAAGTGGTGCTGTTCAGTGTTGGGGGTAACACATTACAAGTAACGCAAGTTACATAATCAGATTACTTTTTTCAAGTAACTAGTAAAGTAACGCATTACTTTTTAAATTACAAGAGAATATCCGAGTTACTTTTTCAAATAAGTAATGCAAGTTACTTTTTTTCCCAATTTATTGACTGACAGCTCTCCTGTCCCCATGTTGAGAGAAATCAGATGTTTCTGTAGATCTAAAATAAATATGAATATGCATTAACTCATCTCACTCACTCACAAAAAACACAGATTCAGTATTCCTCAAAATGAATAAAAATTATGCAACTCAGAATATGATGCAAACCTGCAATAATTAAGTGTTAAACAACACAAATATCCTTTATGTATTTAATCCCATTCTATTAACCAATGTCTTTGCTTCTGACCTTCGATGATCCAGTTCAACCGTACTAATAAGCACAAATTACTCTAGACGAACATTTGTGTGTCTTTTTACTTTTTTTAAAAAATAATGTAAATTTACTTTTCCTTCAGCCTGAGGCTTATTAATTTCACTTTTGGTGTGAAACGGCTTTTATATTTGCCAAAAATAGAACTTTTTTATTTTAAAAACAAACAAGCAAGCCCTGCCCAGATTTAAAAAGTAATGCAAAAGTAACGTAACACATTACTTTCCATAAAAAGTAACTAAGTAACGTAATTAGTTACTTTTTCATGGAGTAACGCAATATTGTAATGCATTACTTTTAAAAGTAACTTTCCCCAACACTGGTGCTGTTATAGTGACGGAGTCATGCAAAGGCACTTACAATGTAATGTTTCATAACTTTCAACACAGAGGAAATGTCACTCCTGCTAAACTGTGCAAAACTGGCTCCTGTCATCTTAACGAAAATATAAGGTTTAATATAGGTTAAGCTCAGTCGACAGTCCCTGATAGCACACGTACATCACAGAAACATCTATTTGACATCTGCATTTACATCTGCAAGACGTTTTTTTTTTTTAGAGTATTTGCTCATCTGCAATACGTTTATAGGACGTTTCCTATCAGGTGTCTTTAAGATGTTTATGGTTTAGAATGTACGTAAAACTGACATCTTACAGACGTCTGTCAGATGTTTGTACACAGCAGATGCTTTCCAGAGCAAGTGATCTTTAACAGACATCTTGCAGACGTACGTGTGCTATCTGGGGTATTTGTGGCAAAAGCAGGAATGTGGAGCTTATTATTATCTTCTGTTTAAATGTATATAAACGTGTGTATTTTAGGGTTTACAGAGACCCAAATCTTGTGACCAGAGGTGGACAGTAACGGACTACATTTACTTGAGTACTGTACTTAAGTACACTTTTTGAGTATCTGTACTTTACTTCATTGCTACATAACTATTGTATTATTTATTATTTTTTCTGGAAAGTCGTGACTTTAACTTCACTACATTTGAAAGACAAATATTGTACTTTTCACTCCACTACATTTCTCGTCCTCGAAGTAGAAAGTCGTTACTATGTAGCAGCTTTGAAAGTCAGTGGGTGACTTTTCTTTTTGACAGCTTATATGTAATCACTCTTGTAGGGTTATGCGAAGTGATTTCCCAGCATTTTTTGAACAATGACAGTTGCAAATGTGATATTTATTTACAACAATTCAATAATAAGAAGTTAATGTTGTGGTTTATATTAGACACAATATTGTCTGATTTTGCAAAATTGTGTAAACGAAAATATTATATATAAAGCCACAGAAGAACTGTTGTGCGTCTCCTAATAAAGCACAAAAGATGTTTGACTGAAGCAGCACTGTACAGACCATTCTGTGTGTGACATGAAAATACCGCAAGAGCGATTAGACAGCATTTTTGAAATTTTAGTTTTGATGTTAAATAAATGTTGCTGTTTTGCATTTTTGGTTAAAGCAGAGTTGCTGTTGTAAAGTTATAGAGCTACAGTTGTGTTGCTGGGTTTTAAAGCAGGTTTGATTTTTTTTTGCCATGCTGCTTTTGTGGGGGTGGATAGGAGTGGTAAATAAAATAGGTTATTTTTGTCAACTCACTTGTTTCATTTCTATAGGTTTTTAACTTTCAAAGATACTACAAGCTAGTCAGTGTATTCAGTAGGCGTAATGTATTGTAAGTTGCTTCAGAGGCATAAGCTATTGCAAGTATTACATACAACAATAATAAAACAGTGCGTTGACATAAAACAGGAAATTAACTTTTGATACTTAAGTACTTTTAAATGCAAGTACTTCTGTACTTTTACTTAAGTAAAAATCTGTCTTTACAACTTTCACTTGTAATAGAGTAATATTTGACCAGCAGTATTTGTACTTTCACTCAAGTAATAGAGTTGTGTACTTTGCCCGCCTTTTGTTGGTTGTGACATTTGATTTTTTTTTTCTTATCAGTCTGTTTTAACAGCAGTTTCACTATCCACTCTGTTCAAATGTAGATGTGTGCACACACTGCCAGAGCTGTGTGAGATCACTGCCATGCTGCTTTTGTGGGGGTGGATAGGAGTGGTAAATAAAATAGGTTATTTTTGTCAACTCACTTGTTTCATTTCTATAGGTTTTTAACTTTCTAAAAGCTCTTTATTCCAAAGATACTACAAGCTAGTCAGTGTATTCAGTAGGCGTAATGTATTGTAAGTTGCTTCAGAGGCATAAGCTATTGCAAGTATTACATACAACAATAATAAAACAGTGCGTTGACATAAAACAGGAAATTAACTTTTGATACTTAAGTACTTTTAAATGCAAGTACTTCTGTACTTTTACTTAAGTAAAAATCTGTCTTTACAACTTTCACTTGTAATAGAGTAATATTTGCCCAGCAGTATTTGTACTTTCACTCAAGTAATAGAGTTGTGTACTTTGCCCGCCTTTTGTTGGTTGTGACACCAACAAAATTGTAAATTTTTATATAGCTTTACACAGAAAAGGTTGGTAAGTTTATTACCAAATTGCATATTGTTTATATCTTGTGGCAAAGCTATTTAAACAGTCAGCTTTTTAATGGCCCCTTTCACTTCCATTTTAAGTTTCTCACTGTATTTTTTATTTTTTTAAACAAGAAAACATTTCAGGCTATACTAGACCACTATCATGCTAGCATATTTTAACACATTGCTAACATGTTTTAACATGTTTCTAGTATTTATTATGTTGCTAGCATGTTTCTAGCATGGTTTAGCATATTCATAACATGTTTTAGCATATTTCTAATATTTTAACATGCTATTTTCTAACACATTGTTTCCATGTTTTAACATTTTTAGTATGTTTGAACATTTCTAACATTTCAACACATTGCTAACATGTTTTAACATGTTTCTAGTATAATTTATGATGTTGCTAGCATGTTTTAGCATATCTCTAATATTTTAACATGCTACTATGTTTTAACGGTTAACATGTTTTACCATTTTTAACATGTTTTAACATATCTCTAACATTTCAACACATTGCTAACATGTTTCTAGTATGATTGCTAACATGTTTTAGCATGTTGCTAGCATGTTACTAACATATTTCTAACAAGCTTTAGCATACTGATAGTTAATACTAAAATAGCATACTGCTACTATACTGACGTGTGACAGCAGAAGGCATGAGTGTTTTTTTCGTACCAGTATATTAACAACTTTTCATGATTGTAAAATACATAAATATAATAAAATAAGCATTTACATCTGATATTTTGCTGACATCAGAAACCACATATACACAGGAGCCATACAGTTATGCAAATATTCAGTGCAATTTTGCACTGCAACCAATAAAAGACCCATCAAAACCGTCAGTACCACCACGACTGTCACTCTATGTTCAGAGATCTCAGCATCCAGTACAGTATCCAGTACAGTATATTAGTGACCCAGTATAATGTCAACAAACGTCATCACAGGAATAAGCAAAAACATCTGAGGTATTTATCTGACAACCCTCACCTCATGTTTGATGGCGAAGAGTAAAAAGTCAGAAACTTTGCTTTCATTCTGTTGATTATCATTTTACTAATTGCAGTTAACCGCTGTGCTTGTGGTACAGAGATACTGGATGAACATTATACAGTATGAATACGCAGTGTCGTGTAACACACGTTCAGTGATAAGATGCAGTCATTTTAGCGAAATTTCAAAGAAAAAGCGATGTACGAAGCAGAGTTTACACTTAAGTCACCTTTAAACAAATCAACTTTCTGTTGGTCAGTAAGGTGAATTTGCATGAATAATTTCCCAATCAGTTCCAGCTGAAATAACTGGATGTTGTTGATCAACAGTAAATGTGACCGGACTTATATATATATATATAGACTGGTGTATCAGCTAGGCTGTTTAATGGGCCATTTTGAAATGATGACCATAGGCCATTAACCATGCCTGCACAGCCGATTAATAGAAGTGTTCGCGTCCCCGTGTGTAAATTTCAAATATACCACCCTTAACAATGGATAACACCAAATAAATCAATCGATCTTGTACGATGCTTTTCCTATGATGCTGTTCACTAGAAGTGAAGTAATGCGTGCAAACACTGAAGCATGAATGGACAGTTGAGACCTTAATAAATTAAACTTGAAAGGCTGGTGTTTCCTAATGAAATCAGCCCTCAGGTAGGCACACTTGAGTCAGCGTAGGCTTTTATCATGGCTCCATAAGACTGCCTAAACTTCAACACCCACTGAGATACATTCACATCATCATTCATTTCCAGTTAGCCAAATCTAAGAACCCAAAAATGGTGTGAGTGAGTTGTTATGTCATACTAAACCCCAGCTATGAATTCCCAACATGCTGGGAAAAAGGCAAACTGCCTTATATTTCTATTTAATGCACTTCAATTCAGTTATAAACGAAGTCATAATAATAAATTAAAATCTGCTTTATATCCAGCAGATGGCAACAAAACTCTTTGACCTTGCTATGTACTTTGGTCTATAACCTCTGTTAATGTAAGTTTTTTTTCGTAACAGCATCACAACACACAAATCAAAGTGGAGGGAAAATAACACTGTCCAGCAGGCATCAATAAAACAAATCAATCAAGAAACTAATGAAAAAAGATGAGCACCCACTCAGAGGAGACGAGCAAGGAGGCCTTTAATGGAGGATTTAAAGAGACAATGAGAGAGAAAATATCATTTTGATTTCTCCTAAGAGATTATAGTGTGCTAAAGATGTTTGAGACTCCTTAGAGAAGCCTATTAATAATTACCTGCACTGGGAATTACATAAGAGGCACCAGTTTAAACCTGCCTGCCTTTTCATAACATTATATATATATATATATATTTTAAAAAATGTTCTCAGCTGTTACTTCGGGTGAATCTCAGTCAAGCTTGTCAGGAACATGCCCGTTCAAATTTTACTTGGAAAGAAAGTTCCTTAGTTCTCAGTACTGCAATGTGAAAAAGTCAATTCTATAATGCAACCCCCCCCCCCCAAAAAAAACATTAAAAATGCAAAACATTCAGATGCATTGCCGTAATGAGATAAGAAGTACATTGGCTTATACTACACCAGAGAGGTATAAAACAAATTTCTGAATAGTGCACTAAGCTTAATAAAAGTGAACCCAAGTGAGGAGCCAGTAATCTTGCTCGTCTCCATTATGTAAACATAACCAAGATAAAAAGTGATAGTGCTGTAACAAAGACAGGATATTTGTTTAAACATGGCATCCTACAGAAAGCTGCCTTAAAAGTACCGTCCCATATCACCAAATCAAGACGGCTGAGTTACAGTATCTAAAAATGCATTATTCCTATGTATCTTTTTGTGTCTATCTCTAGTATTCAAAAAGTGCCAACAAGTCCAGTAACAGCTAAAGAGGACCAGAGCAAACGGAGCAGTTGTATTTCACAGTGCATTAGATAGACGCACAGTCACAGAATGAATATGGCAGGATATTGGAGATCTTCCCGAGGCTCATGCAGGAGTTTTCATGCACGTATAAGCATGTGTTGGCAAAACAGAGGGGGAGAAAAAATCAAACAAACTGTTGCTGTCGGCATGTGCTAAAAAAAGGCATGTGTTCAGTCAGTCAGTCAGTCAGTCTCAGAGCTCTGGTAGATGGTGCTTCTCCATTGGAAGGATGACTGAAATTAAATATATTATTGGCACAGTGAGGAGGTACTGGGGAAAACTACACCTCCAGTATCATCATAATTATCATCATCACCGCTAACCAGGACACCTCGTATCTAATCAGACTCCATATTAAACCAGCTAACACTGGATGATGCTCAGTCTTCTGTTCCAAAACCTAGTGAACTGCCTGTGTAAGACTGCATTTATTAGGCATCATAGATTGCAAACATTGAATGTAAATATACCTAATTCATTCAAAACTGAAAAGTATCAATAAAATAGTTCAATTGAATTAAAAATACTATTTTATCCAGTATTGGTGTGCTTTGTATTTTGCTTATTAGAGTATCACAGTGTTAGCTTTTGCAACATGCTAACGCCAAACTCTATGCCCAAAGTATACTTTGGTTTGTATGTGTGCAGATAGATTTTTCTAATTGCGCATGTACTATACACTCAACTCACATGTGCGTCTTGAAATTTTTTTTTGCACTAATTAATTATTTTCGAGATATGTTTTTTCAGATTTGAACTTGCATAAATTTTACATGGCTTTCTAAACATGTGGCTCTTTTGTGCGAGACGCGAGTGCAATGGTGATAGATATCCCTCTAGAAAATGCGCGAAATATGCGTTCTGTGTGAACGGCTTGGTTTCAGTTTTGATGTAAACAAGATCTTCTCCGCATTTATGTTCTCTTTTCCTGCAATATTTGTAATTAACAATGCAGCAGTGCCTCATCTAGTGGGTTCAACTGGACAGGCTAACAAAAACATTAAAATGCAGTGACACTTACATCGTCATCGCATTTCGTGCGCCACTGATAAGGCTGCCTCCTTAACGCACACCTAAAATTCAAATGCAACGTTTTTGCATTCGAATGTGGATTTTTATTTTAAATTCGACGAATATTCGAAATTAAATTTTTTTTGACAGCCCTATAGGACAGTATTGTAGACAGGAAGCGAAGTGGGAGAGAGAGAGAGGGGGGCGGGATAGGGAAAGGTCTTCCAGCCGGGACTCGAACTCGGGACGCCTGTAGCGCAATGGTGCTATATATCGGCGCACTGCCCACAACAAGGCTTTTAGTAATTTTGTGTTTTTATCATTTTTCGGGGGTTTTTTTAATGCAACTTTATAATTATGTTTTTAATTTTTATTTTAGTATATATTTCAGTTTTGGCAACTACCTAAAATTTAAAAAAAAAAAATTACTTTAGTTAACATTTATTTTATTTCAATGAGCACATTTTTTTATTGTTTTAAATTTTAGTTAACTATAATAACTCAGGTTCAAGCTTCTCTTTTCCATCTAATGAAAGTGGTTGTGGACCAAAGAGAGCCATGACCACTTTTCACTTTCCTTGTACTCCATTCAAGAAAAAAGTCAGCAGTTTGGCTATAGACAGCAGCACTGCAGCTCACTAGGTTTTGGAACACAGCCTTTAAGTCTCTTCAGTCCATTTTCTCATGAACCTGATTCTCTGTCCTCTTGTTAGGTTCTTGAGCTGCTTCTGCAGATGATTCTCCTTCTGAACAAGGTTCTGGAGTCTTTGATATGTTCAAATCATTCTCCTTAACACAAACCACGTCCTCTCCACTGCCACCGGTTGGTGTCCTGGCTCTCCGTGTGTCGATGTAAGCTACGATGATCTCTGAGTTCTGGTAGATGATCATGCCTGAGAGGGTGAGCGCAGCTCCAGCACAGCTAAGAGCCGTCAGCTCATGCCCAAACAGCAGCTGGGACAGCAGCAGGTTCCCCACCACATTCAGGTTGCCCAGGATGTGCAGCGTGACAGCGGAGGTCAGGGTGATGACACAGCAGCTGGCCAGGTTGTAAAGCACTGAGCCCAGACAGCTGAGCAAGATGAAACCCCAGAGGTGGTGGTCATACTGGAAAGGGGATTGCAGCGCGGCTAAGTTCTCCAGAACCAGGGCGGCTATGGCCAGGATGCAGAAGCTGGGGATGGACATCAGATACAATAGGAAGACAGAGTTGATCTTCTCCTCCTGGAGCAAGATGCCTGATAATTATACATATACAAAAAAGGTGTGTTAGTTTAGCTATTATACCTCTATATGTAGTTGCTCAGCACTGACACACATTTTTTGGCCATCTGAATTGTCATTTACCAAAGCACATGCTAAGATATAGTGTGACGCATATAGTAAACAACCGTAACCTCTGTGATGCAACGGTCACAACTAAAATAGTCCACTGAAATATAAAACAAACAGATGACCTAGATAAACCACATGGAGTATCTCTCCTGGACCAAGAATGCAAAGTGGGTGAGTAAATTAATTACAATCTAAATTCATTACAAAAAATTTGTGTATATATATATATATATATATATATATATATATTTATTTATTTAATTGTTTTCTGAGTGGAGCGGTGAGTAATCAAACGAATATTATGTTATAATTTGGCAAAATTATCTTTAGCCAATGCACTGTCATTCTTTACAATTTAATAGAAATTTGTCAGGATGGATGGCTGTAATATGTTCAAACTTAATACCTCATGGGGCCTGTAAATTGTATAAACAACTTTACAGTCAATTAATTATTAAACATCTATGTAACTTAGTTAATTCAGTTTAAACATGTTTTCTGTGTTTTTACCATCTTTTATATTATAATAATATTTATTATATTTATAATAATTATATTATTTTATATTATGAAGTAAAACTTTATTTCTACACTATCTAAACTTCTACATTAAATTTTCAATAATGACAGTTTCGTTCAAATATCCCCCTTTTGTTTTTTTATTAATTAAATAAATAATAACAATAATATCGCTCCCTGACCAAGGCTATATTTTAATTATATACATCTGAATTTCTACATTCTTATTAATGTTCACTATTACACCCCATGGTTTACAAAAAATTATAAATTATTATTATCAATATTGTTATTATTATCATTATAACATGCACTTGGTTCCTTCTAATATTGACCCATCATAGCTTTAGTTGTAGAGAACAACAAACAACGCTGACTTTGTTAAAAACAAGGCACTGCCCATTTAGCTTGCATGCAAACTAAATATATTGGCACAGTGAGGAGGTACTGGGGAAAACTACACCTCCAGTATCATCATAATTATCATCATCACCGCTAACCAGGACACCTCGTATCTAATCAGACTCCATATTAAACCAGCTAACACTGGATGATGCTCAGTCTTCTGTTCCAAAACCTAGTGAACTGCCTGTGTAAGACTGCATTTATTAGGCATCATAGATTGCAAACATTGAATGTAAATATACCTAATTCATTCAAAACTGAAAAGTATCAATAAAATAGTTCAATTGAATTAAAAATACTATTTTATCCAGTATTGGTGTGCTTTGTATTTTGCTTATTAGAGTATCACAGTGTTAGCTTTTGCAACATGCTAACGCCAAACTCTATGCCCAAAGTATACTTTGGTTTGTATGTGTGCAGATAGATTTTTCTAATTGCGCATGTACTATACACTCAACTCACATGTGCGTCTTGAAATTTTTTTTTGCACTAATTAATTATTTTCGAGATATGTTTTTTCAGATTTGAACTTGCATAAATTTTACATGGCTTTCTAAACATGTGGCTCTTTTGTGCGAGACGCGAGTGCAATGGTGATAGATATCCCTCTAGAAAATGCGCGAAATATGCGTTCTGTGTGAACGGCTTGGTTTCAGTTTTGATGTAAACAAGATCTTCTCCGCATTTATGTTCTCTTTTCCTGCAATATTTGTAATTAACAATGCAGCAGTGCCTCATCTAGTGGGTTCAACTGGACAGGCTAACAAAAACATTAAAATGCAGTGACACTTACATCGTCATCGCATTTCGTGCGCCACTGATAAGGCTGCCTCCTTAACGCACACCTAAAATTCAAATGCAACGTTTTTGCATTCGAATGTGGATTTTTATTTTAAATTCGACGAATATTCGAAATTAAATTTTTTTTGACAGCCCTATAGGACAGTATTGTAGACAGGAAGCGAAGTGGGAGAGAGAGAGAGGGGGGCGGGATAGGGAAAGGTCTTCCAGCCGGGACTCGAACTCGGGACGCCTGTAGCGCAATGGTGCTATATATCGGCGCACTGCCCACAACAAGGCTTTTAGTAATTTTGTGTTTTTATCATTTTTCGGGGGGTTTTTTAATGCAACTTTATAATTATGTTTTTAATTTTTATTTTAGTATATATTTCAGTTTTGGCAACTACCTAAAATTTAAAAAAAAAAAATTACTTTAGTTAACATTTATTTTATTTCAATGAGCACATTTTTTTATTGTTTTAAATTTTAGTTAACTATAATAACTCAGGTTCAAGCTTCTCTTTTCCATCTAATGAAAGTGGTTGTGGACCAAAGAGAGCCATGACCACTTTTCACTTTCCTTGTAAACGAATATTATGTTATAATTTGGCAAAATTATCTTTAGCCAATGCACTGTCATTCTTTACAATTTAATAGAAATTTGTCAGGATGGATGGCTGTAATATGTTCAAACTTAATACCTCATGGGGCCTGTAAATTGTATAAACAACTTTACAGTCAATTAATTATTAAACATCTATGTAACTTAGTTAATTCAGTTTAAACATGTTTTCTGTGTTTTTACCATCTTTTATATTATAATAATATTTATTATATTTATAATAATTATATTATTTTATATTATGAAGTAAAACTTTATTTCTACACTATCTAAACTTCTACATTAAATTTTCAATAATGACAGTTTCGTTCAAATATCCCCCTTTTGTTTTTTTATTAATTAAATAAATAATAACAATAATATCGCTCCCTGACCAAGGCTATATTTTAATTATATACATCTGAATTTCTACATTCTTATTAATGTTCACTATTACACCCCATGGTTTACAAAAAATTATAAATTATTATTATCAATATTGTTATTATTATCATTATAACATGCACTTGGTTCCTTCTAATATTGACCCATCATAGCTTTAGTTGTAGAGAACAACAAACAACGCTGACTTTGTTAAAAACAAGGCACTGCCCATTTAGCTTGCATGCAAACAAACTGTAGGTTATGTAATTCTACAGTGACTAAGAATTTTCTTTGACACACATAGCATTGAATAACATCGACATACACGACTGCAGCTGTATGTGACGAGATATGTAGTCATATAAAGACTAAATGTGTACAAAACAGGTTCTGCCAGAAAACCGCAGACTCTCGCCCTCAATCCGGTCTCACTCCTTGATGTTCTCAGAGCCAGACACCTACATAATTACTCTAGGGAGGAGATCACTTAAACTAATGGAGCTCAGCTGACTCTCATTTTAAGAAATCAGTCAAGTATCCAATCCCTGTTTGTTTCTGTGAGGTAATTTGCTACTTGGGAAATCGGGTTAGAACAGGGCTGTCCAAACTCGGTCCTGGAGGGCCGGTGTCCTGCAGAGTTTAGCTCCAACTTGCCTCAACACACCTGCCTTTAAGTTTCTAGTATGCCTAGTAAGAGCTTGATTAGCTGGTTCAGGTGTGTTTAACTGGGGTTGGAGGTAAACTCTTCAGGACACCGGCCCTCCAGGACCGAGTTTGGGCACCCCAGGGATAGAACAACAGCAGCAGCAGCAGCAGCGTACACGGCCGAGTGTCTGGAACGGGATGTGCCAGCTGTTGGCAGACAGACGTTCTCCTCTCTGACTCAGACACACACTGGGAAGTTACATAAATGATGACCAGGAGAATGTGAACTAGCCGAATGAAGGGACAAAAATAGGCTGTACTCTAAGGAACATTTGGTTAAGATTATTTTCATATGTCAATAAAACAGCCGGTGACTTTTTGAATGATGATTAAGTTAGATACAGCTTCAAATACCATTCTAAGAAAAATTAACACAGATTTTATTGTCAAACTGATCAGAAAAACGCTCTGCAGTTCAACTGCGGGTTATGAGAAAGCGCACTAGTCATCCGACTCACGAACGAATCGTTCTTGTGAACCGATTCGTTTAGATGATTCGTTCACAACGAATCGAAAGGCGTTATGAATCACTTGACTGGTTTAGGAATCTGAAGGGTTCCACACCTTACTCTGCCTTATTCATTTTTATGACATAACTATGACTTTTCCAGTTCGCGTTCACTGCATAGGGATTTATTTCATCATACAAAAAACTGTTTATATCAATGAAATATTTTAAAGCTGAACATGAGACAAATGCCACCATAGAAGTTTGCATGAATCTATCAATTACCTTGACATGTACAGTTAAAATTCCCAGTTATTTCCATGTTTTGCAGGACTGAAAACCCTGAATCTATATAACTAAAGAGAAAACGTCATAACATAAAAAACCTAAAAAAAAAAAGTTAACTATTCATTAAATCGAATTGTTCGAACGAACCGGTTCGATTAAATGATTCGATCATTCTCAAAGCTTTATTACTTCATTGAAGCACAACTTTCCTCTTGTTCGCATCTGCAGGGTAAACACATCTTAAGCTCGTAACGTAAATACACCATTCATCTCCGCGAATCAAAAACGCAGTAGCGGTATTAGACGAGTCGGAAGAATCCATTCAGTTTCTGTTGAAGGAACTGAAGCCGATATGTGATCATGTCCTGCCTGACTCAACCTGCTATAGCAACCGTGTGTTTTGGAAGCGGACAGAAACAACACCCCGGCTTGTCTACACGTGTTGTTATGTGTTGTGGGTCTGGTTTGTGACGTAAGGCCTGGGAGCTTATTTTGGACACGAGTCAGTGTTTCATTCGCGAACGAATCGGTTCGTTTGAACGAATCTTTGACTATTTCTGCCGATATTTCACTCTTAATATGGTGAGAATAATATGTTATAACGAATTAATTCACTTAGGCAGGGATTTCAGGTGCCACAAGAAGTGTTCATGTTTAGTGAAAGGTTAGATCAAAACAACTAAAAATAGATATAAATAAAAACTAAATTTAAATAAATAATTAAATGCATGCATAAATAATAAATGCAGTACTATAACATGGTAGAAAACCGTAATAATGCTGTAATAATGCAATAACAGAAACAAAATATTTTACACACATTTATAATATACATTTTTCAAAATATAAACACATTTGAGTGAGCCATTCATTAAATCAAATTGTTCGAGCGAACCGGTTTGCTTAGGCTAAATGAATCTATCATTCTCAACGCTTTATTACTTTATTAATTAAGCACCCTTTTCCTCTCGAATACTATTTATTTTTTCTTGTATTTTTAAAAAATATTTTTTTGCTGTACTGTGTATTATTCTTTTATATTATTATTATTAAAATCACGTTTTATATTATTATTAAATCAAATTAGACTAAATGAAAGCAGGTTAGACCAAAACAAATAAAAATAGATATAAATAAAAACTAGATTTAAAAGTGTAAATACATGCATAAATAAACAATAAATGCAGTACTATAACAGTATTATAATGGGTAGATAAACGTAATAATGTAACAACAGAAACTAAATATTTTCCAAATGATATTTTACACACATTTATAATATTACTTTTTCAAAATGAAAAAGTTTCTTTGTACAAAAAATGATATACCGAGACTTAAAGGGATAGTTCACCCAAAAATGAAAATTGTGTCATAATTTACTCGCCCTCATGTCGTTTCAACCCTGTATGACTTACTTTCTTCTGTGTAACATAAACAACAATTTGAGAAAATGGTAAACCAATGAGTAAATCAATGGTAATCAAAACAGTTTGGTTACCAACATTCTTCAAAATATCTTCCTTTATGCTCTGCAAAAGTAAGAAAATCTTGAAAAGACATGAGGGTGGGTAAATTACCACAGAATTGTCATTTGTGGGTGAACTACCCCTTTAAAGAATCATTTGCGAATGAATTATTTGATTCAAAAGATTCGAGTCACTGCAATGAATCCCCACCACCATACACACCGTGGGAAAACTTAACAAGCCAGTCGACCAATCAGGAACCAGCTCATGTTCCGCTGCCGGCTTTGGATTGGTCGCCCCTAGTTTATTCAAAATACTGTATTAAAATGGTTCGACGTAAGCAAATGCTAAACAAATTACGGCTATGTTGGATAAACAGTCGGGACATGGAGTCCCTCAAGGCTTTTGTCGTTGACTTCACTGCTTCGGTGGCTTTTAGAGCGACAGTGCAGCAAATGGTCGCTCTGTGGTCCATTATAGAGGATTATTTCATCCGGGACCCGTGATGGGGTGCCCAGCTACATGTACCAATAATCACATCGTTTGTCAGTCTGAACTATATTAAAGCAACACTAACCTGCGTGAACTGAGGGCGTTTATATGTGTACAAATGGCGCTGGTCGATGACCGCAGCATATTTTCTGTCCCATTTATAAATGTTATTTTCGTGGAGGTTGTTCAAGCGTGTGTGTGTATTCTGTATATTCCTTATCCACTCGGTAATACGACTGTCGGATCGTATGAAGGATGCACTTGTCTTGATCAGCACATCGTAGCTACGCTAATAGTCACGTGAATCATGAGAGCAAGATGTTTTCTTCTAATGCTCATGAATGACTAGAGGATATAAACACATCGGTCCGCGTCAACACAGAGTACACCATATTAAACAGAGCCCAATTCATCAGTACCACGTCCAGTAAGATCAACCGTATTTCCCTGGTCTCTTACCGTATTCCCGCACTGCTGAAGCTAGAAGCGTTTAGTTATATCCTGCGCGCAGAGACCATCGGCTCTTCGCTGAACGGCCAGCTGTTGCCGGATCAGCTGTGCAGTCCTTCACCGCGAAGCGTCTACTCATTCACTGCGTGCGCGGACAGTCGCTTCTACTAAACATGCTTGAACATCTCAAAGAATGCTTGTTTGTTTCGTTAACAACAGTTGTGTCGTTTTCTATATAGGCTATATGGCTATATTTCTAAATAACCATATCCTTTTATTTTCCCTCATTTAATTTAGCTTCTTTGGATGGTTATTAAAGGAATAGTTCACTCAAAAAATGAGAATTTGCTCAAATTTACACACCCTCAGGCAATTCAAGATGTAGATGAGTTTCTACATGGGAACAGATTTGGAGAAATTTGGCATTACGTCACTTGCTCACCCATGGATCCTCTGCAGTGAATGGGTGCCGTCAGAACGAGAGTCCAAACAGCTGATAAAAACATCACAAGTTACCCCAGGGTTACCGCAGGGTAAACTGAACAGAACCAACATTAATGATTAATGTAGCAGATATCACAATGTTCTAAGTGATTATTTTATATATCAACATAATTCAGTGGTCTGACTCAAGAAGAAATATCCAATGCCAAGTCCTGACTGGACGAGAGGAGGAGCTGGGGATGGAGGTGGGTGATTAGCTCCTGAGCAAAGCGATAGCTGCTGTATAATGACTGAAGAGACCTTATAAAGGGAATTATAATTGTCGTCGTATTCCTGTAGGTAGACGTGGATCAGCTGAGTGTCAGCTGATGCGAGCTTGACTAACGTGACCTGCCAGAACTATCACTACGCTCCATTTCTGAACAAAAATTTTACTGGAGGAAGCGAATTATGGATTCATATTTTGATTGTTTCTTTGAATTGTTAATTAGTTTCATACAAATAAGCAGCTTTTCACTTCACAAGACATTAAAGGGGTCATATGATGTTGCTAAAAAGAACATTATTTGGTGTAATGCAATGTGTTTATGCGGTTTAAGGTTCAAAAATCACATTATTTTCCACATACTGTACATTATTGTTTCTCCTCTATGCCCCGCCTTTTTGAAACGCATCGATTTTTACAAAGCTCATCGGTCTGAAAAGCGAGGTGTGCTGTGATTGGTCAGCTATCCAGTGTGTTGTGATTGGCTGAATCCCTTAAGTGTGTGACGGAAATGTTACGCCCCTCACCATACTGTGATGCCCTGTCCGGCCGGAGCGACGAGACAAAAACATTAAAACCCATTATAAACGAGGCATTGGTTGCATCCAGTGGGGACATAATTACTGATTATAATGACTTATACTGTCTTTTTAAGCGTTGCGCTGCATTGCGCCGCGTAAACATAAAGCCATGTCTGCATTTGTGATCGGAGAAACGACAAACAACAAGCGCTACTCTACACTGCTCAAAACTCATGTTTGAATCGTCAGTGGCAAATCCTTTAAATATGAAAACGTGCTTACAGGCTGTGAGTCAGAAGCACCAGACTGTCCTTGCAAAGTTGGAACTGCCCCACTTTATAGAAACAGCCTTTGAGCACAGACCCATTGTAGTCTACTACAGGATCAGGAAACAGTCCTCCATAAAATGCGTTGCACACATGAATATTTGGGTTGAAGTGTTCTGGAACGTGTTGTAAATACAACTTAACCACTGATTATTAGTTGTGTCCTCTTTTGGAAGACCAAACAAAGTAGTTTCACTTTCACAACGAAACACACAGCGGCTTCACGACATGGTGGCAGCAACAACAATACTACAGAGAGAATAAAAGTTACGCCTTCTTTCTTTGCGTGAACATTTGGGCGGTGTTATGCAAATCTTCCCACACAGTGACGTAGACATGTGGGGGCGTGTTAGAACGAGGCGTTTTAGGAGGGCATGGACGAGTCTTAACTTTTATAAAGAATATCTCTTTGGGTTTGAGACGTTAGTCTTTGCAACTTTAGGGATCTTTTCTATGCACGAACAGCTTGTAACACTCCAAAGAGAAAAGAAAATTTGAAATCGCATCATATATGACCCCTTTAACCGATGGACTGGAGTAGTGTGGATTATTGTGATGTTTTTATCAGCTGTTTGGACTCTCATTCTGACGGTACCCATTCACTGCAGAGGATCCACAATCCTCTACCATCTACATCTCGGATGGCCTGAGAGCAGTGGTGTAATGTAACAAAGTAATAATACTTCATTACAGTACTTAAGTATTTTATGGGAGTATCTGTACTATACTTAAGTTTTCATATTTCTGTCAACTTTCACTTTTACCTAATTCAAATGTTACTTTTACATTTCCCCGAAGCATAATCATTACTAACTACAAAATAAAGCCGGAAGAACACAGACTGCAAGAAAGCAGGTTTGATGAATCAGTGGTCTGCTGCTTGCAAGTGAGACTCCTAAAAACACCTTTGCTCATGTGCAAACCAAGTGCTCACACAACCGCGGTCGATTTCATTTTCCACTCAAGTCGAGTCTGGGGTGTGTGATATACAGTATATCGTCTGCGATAATATTGTAAAGTGTTGTAATGATGTGCCATCTGACATTATCGAGTAGCTATATCACAATATCACACACAGAGAGTGCACACATGTGATTTATTAGTCTATTAAAACAAAAAATTCAAGGCATTATAAATTGTAGATGGCAAAAATGCCTCTGTATGTTTTTTATATTTATATAATTTAATATAGTTCATCTATATCACACACAGAGAGTGCACACATGTGATTTATTAGTCTATTAAAACAAAAAATTCAAGGCATTATAAATTGTAGATGGCAAAAATGCCTCTGTATGTTTTTTATATTTATATAATTTAATATAGTTCATCTATATCACACACAGAGAGTGCACACATGTGATTTATTAGTCTATTAAAACAAAAAATTCAAGGCATTATAAATTGTAGATGGCAAAAATGCCTCTGTATGTTTTTTATATTTATATAATTTAATATAGTTCATCTATGTCACACACAGAGTGCCGTTTTGTTTTGATATATCAGCATGATAACAAATGTAATAATCATTTTATACAAGGTTAGTAAAGTTAGCTTTAAGTGACTTACATTTTAGACACAATATTGCCTGTTTTTTGCTCAATTTTTCCAACGAAAATAGTTCCAAACAAAGATCACAGCAATGTTTTGCGTCTCTAAGCAATGGACGGCGTTTCCTTATTTGAAAGGATCAGCTTTTTGAACAAACAGGTTGAATGAATGATTCAGTGACTCACTCATTAACACAGTCAAATGTTTTTCTTCCTGAATGAATCAGCCGTTTGAATGAATCGGTTGAATCACAATGACTCACTCATTAACGGTCACGTGCTGCCACCTACTGGCGGTTTTAATTTCACATTCAACTGTTTTTTCATGTTTTGAATCATTTCAAATATCAGTATTCAGGTTAAATGCAGGTTAAATGCATCCATGTATCCTCTGAGATATATTAAACTGTGTAAATACATCTAAATGCCATTTCAGATGCAGATTCTAGAAATGTTTTCTTATGTTGGAATGAAAGAGGCTAAGTACCGGATGAAGTGCCTCTTATGCTTAGTTACCCAAAGATACAAAATGGAAGAAAGAGTTCAAACTGAACACAAACTTGCTACTCAAACTATGAATAAACTATTTTTAATGTATTTGCTCCTTTTCCATTTTGCATTTACTTGTACTTTTACTTTCAATACTTAAGTACGTTTAATTTTGAAAAAATAAATATCACATACATTAAGACTTTTACTCAAGTAATATTCTAAACAGTGACTTCAACTTCTACCAAAGTCATTTTCTGGTAAGATAGCTGTACTTTAACTCGAGTGTGGCTTTCAGGTAGGCTACTTTATCCACCACTGCCTGCGTGTGAGTACATTTTCAGCAAATTTTCAATTTGGAGTGAAGTATTATTTTAAATGCCTGTGATAAAGTCTGCCTTTCTGAACCAGTGGATCACGATCTTCCATTAGTGGGAGTGTTTCAGTGTGCAACAGTACTGTGACTATAAAGAGGATTAACTGAGAATATTGTCACATTTATTTTATAGTATTGATGTGGAACAAAACATTGAGACATTTTATCAATCTTAAATGAAAAATATTTGAGTGCAACTACAGCTTAAAAGTGTCTGGTTCAAAATACAAATACAAAACATTGAGATAATGTAAAAATAAATGAATAACTAATTCACTTTCATATTCACCCTGTCGATTTCAGCATATTTTTGTTGCCAGGAGACTACATTGCTCCTAGAAGATTAAAACAATACTGTGTTGTATTTTACCATGTAGCTCAAAGCAACTCTATGCAGTTTTGTGTATTCGTCGGCGACAATAGCCTAGTAGGCAAGTGTGCCGACATATAACGCTGTTGCGTTAAGAGCGTCCCGAGTTCGAATCCTGCCTCGAGGACCTTTCTCGACCCTGTCCCCCTCTTTCCTACTTCCCTTCCTGCCTGCTCTCCACTGTCGTATCATAATAAAGGCAAAAATAAAAAAGTTTTGTGTATTTTTGCGATTTTGGCGCCCCCTACAGCCAAGTGAGTGGAATTCACCATTGTAAATATACTACTGTCATAATTACAGTGAGTGTATAGCTGTACACACACAGTGTTGTTGGTGCCGCAGAGCTTTGCCGAATTTTCGCACCAAAATGACATACTCAAGGGAAAGAAACAGAAGCCATTTGCCTTATTAGAACTGAGTGAAAGTTGACTCCGAATTATTTTGAAACTGATATTTCAAGGTAAGAAAAAACTGCATAGAGTTGCTTTAAGTGAGAAATGATGATCCCGTTATTCTAAGACAAGTATATTGGCGCCAGCTTCTGGCCATGATAAGAACTAAAATGCTACAAAACAAACCAACAGACCTCAACCAACCATTGATAACCCTTGAAATATTGCACATATAATTATTGTTAATATCCTTCTTTTACATATGATACATTCAGATTATTTTAACAACCAAGACTACAAATTCACATCATTATCTTTTGAAAAATGTAGAGTCCCTGGAATGCAGCATCTTGAAACACTGAAACTTCCAGTGATGCCATATCGGCATCATAATCATACAGTTTACCTAGT